GAGGAGGAGATGGATGGATGGGTTTTTTCTCCTACTGTACTTCAGGTCGCGTTACGTCTCTAGAAGCCCAATAATTATATATTTAAAGGCTTGAATGTCTTACAAAACATAAATTTAACACTATTCAATGCAAAACAACATGAGTAATTTCGATGTTTATGTGAAACTTTTAAAGCAGTCTTGTCTGCAACTTTGTATTTGTCTATTAATACGCGGTGAGTAAGTGTGCGAGGTGCCATTGGCTAATAGGAGCCATTATAATGAGGGATGATACCAATAAATTGGTATCTCTCTTACAGCTCAACAAGTCCTCTCTTTAGTTACAGTTAAAAGGATTGACTCAGCCTTCACTAACCTTGTATTTGACTTGTACTGTCATTAGCAAATCAAAAGCAGATTAATTAATCACAGGTCCATGGGGGTGTGCATTACCTTAAGTGACTATTGTAATATAACTTAGAGAGAAATCACCCGTGGCTTTCTCGTCGTGACACCAGAATGAATGCTTTGCTACTTCCAGGAGTGCCAATGCTGTCATCAAGAGGGTGGAAATGGATTCTGTAAGTGGTGGAGAGTCTATTAGAGCATTTATTCTGCTACAAATGGAGCTCTTCACAAGTGGTCAACACTTACGTCGTCTACTTCAAGTCTACTTTTCTTTTTTTTTTGGGTTCTGCAGCAGGGGCGTGTCCAGGCGTTTTAAACTGGGGCTTTTAGTTTTCCACACAAAAAAAACCAAATCACATCAATTTTACCAAACCTGTCACCACTATTCTTGTCTTATCTCAATCCTGTAGATAAGGTCACACACAGTTGTGACATTTTGGTTTAAAAGTTTGCTATATTTTTTTATTGTGCAAAATGTGAAGACAATGCCGACATAACAGAGATGGTGTTTGAAGACAGTAAAGACAGTTACAGATTGAGCTGACATTATCTGAGCAGAAATCACACAAACAAACAAAAAAAACAAACAGAATGATAGAATCAAGAAAGAAAGAAAGAATGTGTTTCCTTTTAAAGCTTTAATGTCAAAGGTGTTGTGGCACCATCATATACTGTTTAAAAAGATAGACTACTTGACAGCTCATGTAGTACTGCCAAAACATTTGGAGCTCCCCCTATTGGCTGACTGCAGTATCGGTCAAAATCTCCACCTCCTCTATGGGACATGATTCAAACTATAAAATCAGAGTTCACAAACATAGGTTTTGTCTATAAAGTTATTTGATATTATGTTGATGAGTATTCAGAGGATTCTAGCTCCAGCAATGTGTTGTGGGATATTTTGTTTCGTTTATGTTCAGTGGGAGGAGATGGGAATGCATCGTCCATCTTATACATATCTTTACGCTTGGATTCAAATAAGACAGATATAACATTATAAAGTACCAACAAAAGGAAAATTGCTACATTGAAATGCCACACAGGCCACTGTTGCATGGCCGACACAGCCAAATAGGTTGCTGTAAACGTAAACCAATCAGATATCAGTGGAGAGTGCTATCATGGGCCACATGCACGCCCCTGTTCTGCTGCATAAATTGCTCAACCTTCTTCCTCAATTCATTCGCTTAAAGTAAACCTTGAGGACGCAGATGAGGCCTTCAACTTAAGAAACAAAACCAGATGAAGTGTCACAAGATTTCAGTTCGAGTGAGAGTCCTGTAAACTGCAAATGTTAACCAGTATGAGCACATACATGAAAGCATTGCTCCAAGTGTCGGTGTCTGTGGTTCAGAAGAAGAGCGAGTGGCTACATCTGTGCTCTGCCTCGAGCTCAGACGCTTTACTACCCCCGTTACACTCTGACATTTGGAAACCCACCGAGAGTCGCTTAGTCAAGGGAAGAAGAGGCCAAATCTCAGTGGGGCGGGTGGATCAGAGCTTGAAGAAGGAAAGATCCCTGAAAGATGGAGGGTATATTATATAATCATGTAAGCAAGGAGCTGTCTTGTGTATTTTCATGACCTTCACAGGCATCACAATTTGTGTTCTCTTACATCTTTACATTTCATTTTTAATCTTTCTATATCTGTTTTGCTGTATCTTGAATTTTGTGACGATATAAACCAGATGGCAAACACCCCACTGGTGTACTAATAGTATCCCCTGCTGGCAAAAGAGGGAACACTTCACACAAAAACAGATGGGGATAAAGAAGTCTTCTTTCCTGCAGAACATCACTGTTTTAGAAAATGTATACACATGTTTTAAAAGACATCAGATTGGAGGGTTAAAAGTAATATTATGATGAAATTAAGATGGGAAATCTGGTCCACACGTTATGCTTTTAGAGCTTCTCAGTAATTACATGTTACCCCACCAGAGGTCACCACTACTTTACATTCAAAAGCAAAATGTCTTTCATCAAATCTCAAGAGATCAACCTTATTCAATAATAGATTATTGAATAATTGATAACCATTGCCTTCTTGTCACAAAAAAACAAAGGCTTTATACAAAACATCATCTGACTGGTGTCCTTAAAAAATACAAAAAAAACATTATTGAAATCCAATTTAGGTATCTCAGTGAAAAGATGTCAAATGTACCATAAAAATTCAAGAACCATGAAGATGCAACTAATCCACTATTCTGATCAATACGAAATTGACTGTAGACCTCAAGAAGGCATCACTGTGCATCTATCATCTATTGCTCAGGACCAAGCAGTCAGCGCAGTCTTTACACATATCATTTCATTTAGTAGGTGCTGTCAATCAAAAATATTCCTTCATAATTCTCATAGAAAGTGGAGCAGAGCCCTTCCTCCCCATTTGATCCCAAAAGTACAGTCTCCATCCCTCCCCTTCTATAAACATACTGGTTTCCATGGCAACGTGGAGGGGAGAGCTACAGAGCAAACACTCCAGCAGGGAGGAGAAAAGTGTCTAACAATGAGATGAGGTGGAGGGTACAAGGCTAGAGTAAGTGGGGGGAAACGAGCAGGTATATAGCACAGCACAACTGAGATCCGAATTTTTTTTTTATTTTGTGGAGATGATAACTGACATACATAATATAGCCTACTGACAAGTTTTATTTCTTTTTCTAGCTATAGGCTAACTGACATTTGGCATTCAGCACTAGGTTTTGAGTAGGCGAGTGAAAATTTGAAATAATTTTGATGGCCTGTTTCTTCCTCTTCAGAGCAGACTTGTCAATATTTTTGCAATCTTTGTTTTACTAACAAAGTTTCCTAGGTCTATAGGCCTATTCATGCGCTGGGCCGTTGAGAGACAAGAGACTAATAGGCCTACATTACATCTGTAGGTTATCATTGTCTTTATATGTTGAAAACGTATTAATAATATTTGATTAATGCTTAATGTTCTCATGAAATGTCTTAAAATGTCTTTAAAATGTCTGCATGAGGAGGCTATTTTAATGTTGGGCATGAGTAAAGTTTTATTTTCCTGCAATTAAACAAGTCATCGCAAACCATATTCGCTCATCAATATAAAACGGAGCCGGACGTTTTTTTTCCAAACGTGTCATCTCACCTGAGGACTGCCGGGTAACCCACGCGCACACGCGAACTCAAACAACTCCTAACTACAAAAAAAAAAAAAAAAAAAGAAGAAGCCTCATTGTTCACTGTTAATGTTCTCGGTCATTGTTTGAAATGACGTAGAAATCGTGTGAAGGGCAGAAGGGGTAGTCTGAGGGGGGAAAGAAAAGAAGTTCCTGGAAACAGGAGTGAGGCGGGACGCTGCGGTTCAAACTGAGAGATTCCTCCGAGGCTGGACTTCTCTGCCCACTGCTCACACATCACAAACTCTCAGAGCAACACCGACGTTCATCTCCGGTTGTGAAATGGATTAACCTGCTTTACAAACTTCCGTCTGACTGAATGAAAATCCTGACATGACTTATGGAAATGTGTTTACAACAACAACAACAACAACAACAACAACAGGTGAGTGAAGTAGGCTATACTGTCAGTGAACTGTGAACACAATATAGCCTACTTTTAAGATAACAAAGACTCCAGTACAGTATATTATATTATATCGTGTTATGCAAATCTATTCAGGTGTGTCTGTAAGCCTTTAACAATAGATAGATGAACTGAAAAAAACAACGTATTTCCTAAACTTTAATGCTATGGTTTTAGATTGTGTTTATTATGCTTGAATGTATGAATGGTATTTGTTTAGGCTAATTTAATTTCTTATTAGTAGCTACATTGTACAAAAAGTTAGTGCGCAGTTATTATGCTATAGGCTATACAAAGACTTTTTTTTGGGGGGGGTTACTTTAAAAAAAAAAAAGTTTAAGGTTCAAAGTACAAAAACTTTGCATTTTCAGTTTAATATTAAATGTGTTGATTAGTTAATCTTTGTGTGAAACCTGCATCTACAGTGTAGCGGTATAACGCATGATAATACCTTATAGAATGCAAAGTCTTTAAACATAATAAGTTATGAGTTTATATTGCATTCTGATTGTAAGCACACACACACACCTTGAGATCAACTTTTCTAAAGACTTATATTGTGCTATATGTGCAATAATAGTCAACGCAGTGCATGAAGTTATCCTCATATAGTTATGTGAAGAAATAGATACTGTCCATCTGCTCCTTTTCTAAGATTGGCTTTAGTGCGTGAAATAAAATGTAAATGTATTGGCATTCTTATTATGTCTCACTACTCGTGAAAAGCATTTTTTTTCATTTAAATTTCACTTATCTAAGCTGTATTATTAGAGAAGTAAGAGGCCAACTGCTGATACAGCACAGACTGTTAAAGCAGTTGATCGTTGAGATGAGTGAAAGTGAGTGTAGGTATTCCTAATTTATCATAATCAGTCAAATTACAGTTCTTAACAAAAGCATTCATGAAAACATGAACATATTACTTATTATGTCACTTGTGTAATGTTCTATGATTGTCGATGAAGTAGGCTACATAAGAAGGCATTATGTGTATGAGTTTGGACTATGTTTAATGTTTTCTTGTCTTTGAATCATTTTGTAGGTATGAACAGTAAAATACCAGATTCCTTCTCAAAGATCATTTGACAGACTTCAGCTTCTTGGATCCACTGATAAATCAGTCCAATCTGCTTCCAACATGAGTGGACAGGGCTGTCAACTCCTGGTGTCCCCATCATTGAGCATGATCAGAGGACACCAGTCCCAGTCCATCAGGATGCCCATGACTTCCCCCCAGCGGGCCAGTTTCAGTCCCTCCTCAGGTATAGAGAAAATGAAAAAAAGTGCGATCCACTCCTTTACATCTGGAAAACAAGGTGGAAGCCATGTTGTTCTGCCTGCCCTGAGCCTCCATAGACACGTATTGACCAATGGGAAACATCCGAACGAGCAGACTGTGTCCCCACAACAAGGGCATGCTCATCATCCTCCAACCACTACAGTGACCTCCACCATACAGACAGGACCCTGCTCCTTTAAAAACAGCTTCAAAGGTAAAAACAAAGGCTGAAATTGATCCGCTCAGCAAATAAAGTAAGATTAGTAACGATAAGATTAACTTTATTGATCCCCTATTTGGGATACTTCAGCTATTTCAACTGTTAACACAATAAATCTTTTCGGACCAAACAGTTCTGGGGACTTTTTTACGAGGAACTATCCACTAGGGAGTTCCCTGAGAACTACACAGTATGGTGACTTTTTCTCTGTCTGCATTCGCACCGCCATTGTACCTATGAATCAGGAGCTAAAAGGTTCCTCTAAACGGGGCTCTAGGAACTAAAATAGTTCATAGTTCCTGTGTTGCGGAACCAATAACAAGAGGGAGGGTTCAAAAATTTCCTAGAACTATGAAAAACTTCCTGCGGTCCTAAAATGCCAAAAATGACACTATATTTAATGGTATATGCTATTTGTATTTACATAATGAGGAGTACATTTCCATCATCGTGTTTTATACTTACCGCTAAATCGATATTGCAACAGATTCACAGTTTGTGCTGCACAACCTCGCTGTCTTCTCTCCACACTTTTGAACTTACTTATTGAGAATTAACTGAGCGTATAACTTTCCTACAGAGAAAAAGTGGGAGGAGGCGAAAGGCTCATTAGTGATTAACAGAGCAGAAAGTGTCTCTAGCCTGCTCAGGTTGAAGAGGGAAATTTCACAATGCGCTGTGTAAACTTTTGTTACTGCAGACTAAACATGAGGCCTTGAGTTTGACTCTTTTCAATATGGTCGGGTGATAAAAAGATGCAATCAGATTAATGGTGCCGTGCTCACACACAAATGATGTGTTTGCTACAGTTAGACAGTTAGGACTCACACAGAAACAAACACTTAACAGGGTAAACAAGTACATTTTGATGGTCCTCCAAGTATAAGAAGGAATCTGTGACATCAATACCTATGTTTGACAAATGCACATAGTCTCATATAGGTAGAAAGTGAATGTCTGTTCTGAGGGTAGGGAGTGTAATTTTGCTTCAAGAAGCTGACTGACAAACACACAACAGGAACTGTACAAATAAGGAACAGAAGTTCAGAATTGCAGCAAAAAACATTCAAAGACTTTTGTTTAAGATTTCCAAACAACCCGTCTCAAACACCACAACAACATCACTCTGAAACTGGTGATCCAGAGACAGAGTTAGCCACAATAAGAAAGTTTAATACAAATAATACCTGAATATAACAACAATGTCCAGTTCAATTATACCATTACATTGCCACTTAGAAATGATCTGTGGAGATTTACTGAATGTGGATAAAAGTTGTTGTTCTGTTTTGTTTAAAGTTTGGGCTTGTCTCCAGCAGGTTGCTCTATGTCTCGGCCATCTATGGAAGTTTTTGGTCAGCCAGCAGCTGCTAACCTGACCGTGACCAGCAGTCCTTGTCTGTTGCCCCATTGCAGCGGTATACTGCAGATCTTCCATCACATCCACATGGTGCGCAGATTCCCATCACTGAAGCCAGGTTTGAAATATAAAATGAATATGGATTAATGTGCTTACTTCACTTTAAGGGAGATGCTAATGACAACAATGTGTTTCAGATCCTTACTGTCCAGAGAATCTCTGGCATCCACCACCCTCAGTCTGTTCGAGACACAGTCAGTGTTCAGCGGTAGACATGACTGGCCGTATGGCTACCGTGTGCTCCCTCCAGTAAGTCTACCACCGGCCAGCGAGAGAGGTGAGCAAATCAGCCTCTCCCCTGGCACGGCCATGTCTGGCACCACTGTATCGGGAGGCACCAGCACCTCGGCCTCCCTGCCCTCGTACCTCTTTTCATGTGACGCTGGAAGCCCCAGACAGTCTCGAGCGAAGAAGAGAGCTCTCTCTATATCCCCATTGTCGGACGTAATGGGTACTGATTTCACCTCCATCATACGCACCTCACCCACCTCCCTCGTTGCTTATATCAATGGTTCCCGCAGCTCTCCCGCCTCCCACCCCACTCTTTCACCTGTCCAGTCTGAAGGTTATGGTCACTTCCTGGGTGTTAGAGGCAGCTGCATCCCCCAGACTCATCCCTACAGCATGCCCATTTCCTCACAGGCTCTGGCCCCACACAGAGATGGTGGTTGTCTGCAGATGCTTGAAGAGGGAGGGGGTCTGGAGAGCCAGATGGCTAACATGGTGGTGGAGCAGCAGTGCCTCCCAGAGGAAGGAGGGGCAGTGGTGAAGGCTTCAGAAAGCTGCAGCCAAACCACCAACAACCTGCTGCCATCTCTCGAACTACAACCAGCCATGTTGACGACTATCCAAGAAGCCGCAACTCCACAAGGGCCTCCACCTCCCTACCACTCGCACCACCAGCACATCCACCTCACCAGACGTCACTGCAAATTAAAGCTACCTTCTCAGGACCCTCTCACACACGCTCTCGTGGTTCCTCCCAGGCATGGCGTCAGCTTTTTACCCCAGGTGCCTATGCTAGAGGAAGAAGAAGGAGAGCTCGAGGACTATGGGGCGCTCTGCTGCAGGTGGTTGAACTGCAATAAAGTCTATGAGCAAAAGGAGGAGCTGGTGAGGCACATAGAGAAACTACATGTGGACCAGAGGAAGGCTGAAGACTTCACGTGCTACTGGGTGGGCTGTCCACGCAACCTCAAGCCGTTCAACGCTCGATACAAGCTTCTTATCCACATGAGGGTCCATTCAGGAGAGAAACCAAACAAGTGCACGGTAAAATGAATGAATGAATGAATGAATATTTTATTGTCGTTTCTGGTCTTTAACCTTACCTGTCCCACAAGGATTTATTCAGATACATTAATTGAAAATCAATCAAATGCATAGAATGTCATTTAATTAACGTCAAAACAACAAAATTAACATGATCCACCCCACAAATAATAACACTCCAAGAGGTAAGATAAAAACCAATACAGACACAGCCCCCTACACAAAATGCAGATCACAGTGCTGGCCCTACATATTCATAGAAAGAAGACTTTCCCCTTTAAATGATACACTTTTTGCACATTTGTGAGAATGAAGCGTAAAGCATGTCAAAGCAGGAAAATGATAAATGTCAGGGTCCCACTGAGTTCAACTGTCTGTGTTGCATTCAAAGCCACGATGTCTATTTGAAAACTTTACGCCTCAGGCTGCAAAAAAAACAACCTTTTCGGGACGAATCCCTTCATGTGCTCTCTGTTGTGCTCCGCCAAGTTTGGGGTCAAAAATATTGCCTCTCTCTCCTCTTACTATTAGCTGTGGGGTAATTAACAAAGCTCTTTGATAATTGACATGGGAGTTAACTCAATTATGTAGTTATTAAATCAGTACAAAGGATGCCTAGCACTCCAGATCTGGCCTGGCTCTGTGGCTCTAGTAGCCTCTGGGCCTGTCAGCAGGAGAGGCTTTGCCAGGCCACCGTCTGACAAACTTGGCCGTCGTTCTGGGAAGGTGATGCCCTGTGGTCTGGCTCACTACAGGTCTACCAGTGTGGCCAAAGATATTGGATTTGTCCATGGAAGTGATTATTGTTTTTTATAGTAGTTTTGTCCGTCCAATATGCATGCTCTAGTTCTTGCTGAATTTTGGCAATCGGCAACACCATTTAAAATAGTTTATTAGGTGCTCTTTTTTTCTAGAATACAGAATCAAGACCAAGAGTCTGAAGGTTTACGTAGCCACATTAGTTCAATAAGCTGAATGGTTAGCATGCTCAAACTGAAAAAAACTAATGCTGACAAGCTATCCCTGGCCACACCCACTTAAAAGAAATCTTAATAAGGTATGATGATAGCAACACATCTTGTTTTGTGTGTCAGCATGCTAGGTTGTTTGACTGCTAGGCTTGTGGTAATCAGCACCAAACATAACCAGCAACTGAGGCTAAAGGGGGGTGGGATTAGCTTTGAAGCTATTTAACCATCCAGGTTATTAGCCATTGGAAACTGGCATTAAAGGATATGTCAGAAGTTTAGCAAAGTATTAACATTACCAGGAACTACAAATGTATTCACTTGCTAAAAGCTTGAGCACTGTTGAGTTGGGTACTTGAGAAAATGCTGCACAGTCAAAGAAATAAAAGGGTTTGTCCTTCGGGAGACAATACAGTACAGTACAAATCGTGTAGCAAGCTATGGAGTAATTTTATACATAATGTTGTACCAGTGGTGGACCGACTAATGGACAGACAGAACAATATTTAAATCAGTTGAGCCATTATCAGGGCTCAAACATATATGTATGGATTTTACACAACCCTGAACTCCCTGTTTTGTCACTCCCACTGGTAAAATACTTGAGACTCAGATGAGAAATTGACAAACCACAGGCCAAACATGCTTCACATCGCTGCGCTCGACACGTCAATTATTAACCGCATGCATACCTGCAATCGACCTTTTGTACTAAAATACTCACTCGTTAGTCGAGTAGCCTGCTCTGTTGCCATGGGGCTGCAAACGCTGGATGTGTCTGTGTGTTTCATGTCATTTTTATAAAATATAAAAATATCTGCGAGGTATTGTCAAAAACAAAAGTTGATTCATAGTGGCCCTTGTGTTTCTGGTACAGTGTTAAGCTGCCAGGCTAATTCTGAGTAGAGAAAGAAAAAAACCATCACATCGGATTGATAGTTCCTGCAGTGTACATTTTCTTCAGGTCAAGTTTGAAAATGATGCCAGACATTTCTTTAATGGACCTCTGCACGAGTCTGACAAATTACTCCCACTAGTACAAGTCTGAAGTAATGCATGATGATTGGTCCAGTTTTTCTTCAGAAATAATGGTCATGTGAATAAACAGTAAATAATGAATACATTTATTCACATGGGCACAAGTAATCATGTTCATTTCCAATGAGGAAATGATGGGCAGGTGAATAAACCAAAGCGTGATTAATGAAGTGCGAGCCAGCAGCAGAACAATGCAGTAGCTCGTGTTACACAGTGAGCGTATATGGCATGCCCAGGCTTGTACCTGTCGTCTCACAATCTGTTTAATGATGATTTAACTGTTGTTAGCACATCCTTGACCCACAGGAGTATTTGCATCTGTCACTGTGATTTAAACATCTGTGGTTTTAAAAGCACAATTTGGAAAACCCAAACAAGAGATTTACTGTTATGGCCGATTGACCCACAGATAATATAGACGTTGCTTGATTTTTGGAATTGTTAGCTTGTAGATCATGGCTTTCATGTTCTATCTACTTTACTTAAAACACTGTTGAAATCCACATAAATGTGTTTCAACTTGTGTTTTTTGTATTAAAAATGAAAAATTATGTTTGTGTTGTGTAAAACAACATCAGCCATTGAACAGTTTTTAGAAAAGTTGGACACTATTTCACATTATTTTTCTTATTATACTTAGTATTTCTTATTCATGCAATGACCAATCAGTACATTCTATTTTACAAACAAGAGCAGATTGTAATATAAGCCCAGCTTATGCCACTCAAGTCAGTCCTTTAGGAATATCAAGTTTGACAATATTTAAGGCGCCATCTTTACAGTTTGTTGGAGGGACTTATCTGTTTGTTTATTTTTAGCTCCAAGAAAGGAGCTTTGAAAATGTACATCAGAGCTGCCAAGAGGTCAGTGTCAGACAAAGTGATTAGTTGCACGCTGCCATCAGCCTCTATTTACATTTACAAGATTCTTGATGAATAATAGATTTGACTGTTAAAAGAAAGCAGGAGGGGCGCCGGTGGCACACACCCCATGTACCCCATGTACACCCCATAGTCTTTCGGGCGAATGGCCTGGATTTGGCTCCAGCTTATGACTCCTTTCCCTATTCTATTGATCCAGACTCCCTACCAAAATTTTTGCCGCTATTTACTGTCCTATCTCTAAAATAAAGACATAAACAGCCCATAAATAAACTTTAAAAGAATACATACATGGGTAATTTAACAGGAAGAAATCTGAGTATTATTGTAAAAATTTAAGGTGGGAAAATTATTGCTGTATATTTTTTTCTACTCCATGGCTCATCTTATTCATTTTGTAAAAATGTACGCCTTCTTTTTCCATCCAATTTGAGTTATTCTCATGTACCATCCTTTCAGGAATTTACAAGTCAACGGAGACAGGACATGAAAGCTAAAAATATGCAGTGCAGGAGCGCAGGTGAAAGAAAAAGAGCAAAGAGGGTAGAAATATCTCTCCTGCAGTCCAGAGTGAGCTGACCCCGGAGTAGAACTGGGCAACGCACAGGCTCTGCTGGCACAGGCCACAGCTGTCATTGTTCAACCAGGGCTGGAGTACCTGCCAGGACCTGTCAGGAACTGGCTGTAACACTGATCCACACTGAGGAGCTGTGCTGCTTTCTTTTCACACACCAAACGTCTCTCGCGACAAAGTAAAAAGCCCTCGGTGCTTTATGAGAGCTTCATGAGACAGACAGAGAGAGAGTTACACAGTTACACACCGCTGGCTGGTCCTTGAGTCTTGGCAGCAGCTTTATGCTGCTTCTCGCTTGTCTGTTCACTTTGGTTCTAAGGGACTATTTATCTCTGTCTGGACTGTTTTTTGTGTGGTACTCCAACTCAGCAGTCTGTTGTTAATTCTTTTTCCAACTATATTTAGGAATGGAGCATTAAGTAGCATTAACTGATATGGAACAAAACTTTCAAGTTTAGTTCTTCTTTACAACTTCCCTGGTTTCCAGTTTAGTCTTTGTGCTCATATAAAATATTTAAAGCTCTCCAAAGCGCTGGTCATTCTAGATTTTGTACTTTTGTGACATTCCTAGGAAAATAGACAAAGTATCAAACATTTACAAATTGTAAAATGTTGAAAGAAAAGCGTGGCTTCAGATGAAATGTAGCTAACCATTACAAAAATACATCAAAGTGAAGCATTTGAGAGTAATTGTTATCGGGAAATAGCTGATGAGAAACAAAGGAATGTTTTTTTTTCTATCTGGAATGTAGGAGGAATGTTATAAGTGAACCATTAATGGGAAGAAAAAAATACATTTTAATTTTGGCTTCTGCAGTGATGACCAAGAGTTATAGGTATGTGAGGAATTTAGTCTTAGATAAAAAAACAACTGGACATTGTCTAAGTGTTTTCTCCATAAGGCTGATCAGGCACAACCTCCTGTGAACAGGAAGGGGCAGAGTAAATTTCCAGAACAACAGAAGAAAAGCTCTGATGAGTCACATATTTTAGCAGTGAGGTCAGTGTGGTCGCATGATTCTGCAAAAAGAACTGTTGGTTTACTTTGTTGTTCGTATTCAGTATCATTAGAAAGTGCAAGGCCTTGATGATGATACTGTTATAGATCTCAAAAGCAGTTTTTCTCTGGAATGGCTTGCTGACATTTTTAAGGATACTCTTCTTCAAAAGAGTTTCCTGTTTTTGTGATTGATGAGCCCCAAACTGCTGTCAAGGTGATGCAAAGTGAAGGGTTGGAAACACAAATGGCAATGCAGTCATGTGTGTATAAACACTGACCCCTGCTGGTGACAAATACAATCATAAGATATAATGAATAAATGTTCCTCTGACAAACAGTACATATTTGTGTTAAGAAAGAAAAACGAGAGGGAGGTTATAAAAACACACGATTGTAAAGGTTTTGAAATGTGCAAGGGCAGGGCAATTAAAAATCTATGGGATCTAAAAGAAAATCCCTCGGCATTCCTTTGTGCTGAATCTGAAGCTCTATGTATGAAGAAAAAACAGGATCATGATTATATCTGAATAAACCGTTTGAAGAACCACAAATACATTTAAAAACAGTCCCTAATAGAAGTGCATACAACCCTAAATTTGTAAATTGGTGGAAACTATTTATATTAGTTTGATTGTATAATTATTTCTTCACTCCCTCCCACAACTGAGGTCAGCATGTCTTAGTCTGCAGGGACAGCTCAGCAGCCCATAGCCCCAGGTGTAACTTCATGTTGGAGTTGCATATGGAGCCTTTACTGAATAACGCACAGGATGAAGGCAACAGCCAAAAAATAAAAAAGTTGAATGATTTTTACCCCAAGGCGCATTTTAAATGCATGCAGTTAAAATATGTGGCAGCCTAATGGCATTGACTACAACTTTCCTGTATTTGTATGCTGTTACAGTTCGAGGGCTGCAAAAAGGCTTTCTCGCGGCTAGAAAATCTGAAGATCCATCTGCGCAGCCACACGGGGGAAAAACCCTACGTGTGTCAGCACCCAGGATGTCACAAGGCCTTCAGCAACTCAAGTGACAGAGCCAAACACCAGCGAACACACTTGGAAACAGTGAGTGTCAGCCTTGCACTGACATACATGCATGCATGATGTTTCACAGTAATAGTATGTAAATCTTTGTTTTTCATGCCTTTGTTTCATATGTGTGTGGTTATGCAGAAGCCATATACATGTCAGGTGCCTGGCTGTGCAAAGCGGTATACTGATCCCAGCTCCCTGAGGAAGCACATCAAATCCCACTCAACTAAAGAACGTCAGCTACGGAAGAAGGTACAGTCATTGCATTCTGTAACCCAATTTATAATTTATATTTTTTGAGAAAAATCCCAATTATTATTGAGAATCTTTTTTTGTTAAATGTTTATTTTGAGGCTTTTCATGCCTTTATTTTAGAGATAGGACAGTCGATAGAGTTAGAAACAGGGGAGAGATCCGATCTGAACCACAGGTCAGATTTGAACCTGGGCCACCCGCTTGGGGGACTCTAGACTCTGACATGGGGCCTGTGCTCTAATCCCTACGCTATTGGTGCCCTATTATTGAGAATCTGGAAAAGTTTAGCATTATTGGTTATATGCAAATTTACAGATGAATTTGTGGGCTTTTAAAACCAGATATTTTAAATATGTTAGTATGTTCAAGGTTTTTTGGTCATAAATATCTTTCAACTTTGACAAAGTCTGAATAGTAATATTTGAAGTGACAGCAACAGTTTTTCAACATTTACAAGAGACAAAGATAAATCTTACATTATGACATTTCACAAGTGTCAATCCTTGGGCTTTAATGTTTCTAATTATCTGGCTGTATTGTATGTATTGAATATTTGCCATGCTAGACTGCTTAGCACTGTAACTTTGTTATTAAAAGAAAAATAATAAAATACAAATACCTCTAAATTTTTGTTTAGAGGTATACTGCAGACAGATGAAAATATCTAACAAGCTACCTTGTTAATGATTAAAAAAAACATGTTATGTTTGTCCTGTATTCACCTTTATTTTCCACTTTGGGCCACTGCATAACAAAATGAGGACACCATGGCTCTGTATTGATGCCGCTTTGCATTAGCTCTCATCGAGGCTGAATTCACTATAGATAGGGCCTCCATAGAAAAGAAAGTGGGTAGTTGCTAAAAAAAAGTGACATTTTACAAAGTCTCCCACATGCAAAACTTCTTTCATCTAACTCAAATAAATGTAATTTGATTCCCAGTTGTGTAGCATGTGTGTATATAGGCCTACTACCAACACCACTGCAGAATCAACACTAATATAAATTTTAACCATGCACCCACCCACACAAGTATTCATTTTCTTATCTTGTCTTTCAAACTCAGTGTTTGGTACTATTTATGGCAGGGAGTAATTCTGCTATATTCAAATTAACAGTTTCTGCTTTTTTTTTTATTACCTGGTGTCATTTTCCTTAATTTGATAGATGGTAGTGGTAGAACAGAGAATGTGGAAATAGACAGAAGTATGCAACAAAGTTGTTCCAGTTAGAGAATCCCATTAAAGATGCCTAATGTTGGTTTTTCAGACAGTACATTATATTCTTGGCTACAGATAATATAGGAGAGACAGATAAACATGGTCTAATATTTAAGTAAAGATATTTACATAACATCTAAAATGTGTAGGTAGAGACATTCTATACAGGTAGAGTTTCTACATGATCTATGAATATCAGACATTTCTATTTAGATCTTTAATTGGGGCTTTTATGCCTTTATTCAGATAGAAGAGTGGATAGAGTTGGAAATAGGGGAGAGAGAGTGGGGAAGAACAGACAGGAAATGAGCCACAGGTTGGACTTGGCAGCCAGGGCCTCCGGCTTCCGGCTTCATGCAAACTAACCACAAGGCCACCTATGCCCCATCTTGCTGTAAATCTTTTTTTTTAATGTTGATTGCAATATTTAGTAGAAGGATTTCCATGTTGAAAAGAAAATCCTGTCTAAATCCCATCACTGTTTATCCTCTTCAGCAATGTTTATGTCAATGTTCTATTTCTCTAGATAAAATCGACAGCTGATGTGACTCAGGACACGCTGACAGACTGTTTAACCATCCACCCGCTACAACCAAGCCTTTCTCCTCTGGCAAGGATCGACAACAACTTGAACTCTTCCCCTGGTGCATCCCACGAGTCTTTCTCTGGTTTGTTGAAGCACTTGGCTCTTGCATTAAAATATTGAATATAAATAAATAAACGTAACACTTATATAATAGGTTTAGGTTCATCCATGAGATTTAGGCCGTGGTGGACAGCACTAACATGTCTGTCATCCCTGCTCCTCAGCTACTCCACAGGATCAAGACTCCTCCAACAATCCTCACCTGGCTCTGCTGTGCTCCCTACAAGATAATTACAGGTATTGAGGATCTTTGTGTCATTCTATTGGTTATAAGTTGGATGGATTTATCTAGAAATTAAGGTATATGAAAAAACTATCTGGCATTGAATCCACAAAATAAATAATTTCACTTATTTTACTGTGTGGTATATTAAAGCCAACCTTTTTAATGGAACCATTTTTGAATCAAAATACTACTATTGCACTACTATATTGCTACTATAGTAGTCACACTGAGCATACACATTATTTGCCACTGACATGCTCCGAGTGAAAAGCTTATCTTGTTAAATTCCATGTTGGAGTGGTCAAGGTTATAAGTTGCATATTTATTTTATCTTACAAATCATTATATATTTCAGTTCCCCAGTCAGTCAGCAATTTAAAAAATGCAACTAGTGAACATTTTTGGGGAAATTAAGCCATATTTCAGGTTATTACAGCTTATTTGATGACTCAATAACCACGCTCAGACATCAGAAGTGAGCATTTAGCCCCTTCCTAACTTATATTACCATTAGCTGGGATTTGCGGCTTGCTTACAATACCTTTAAGTAGTCTTCCACAGAAAATGGGAAAGCCATTTATTCCTGGCTAACGCAATGTTAGCTGGATGTGAACTGAATGCTAACCTTAGCTGTTGTGTGACAGTAACTAACAGTTTATCAAATGTGTTTGTTTATTAACGTATTAACATTAACATAAATACATGGCTTGATGTTTCTCCTAAATTTCCATATCAATTGTCCTTTTTAATTGCTCAAGTATACAAGCTTAAGTTAGCATTTAGCCATAGCGGCTTGCTAACAATACTGTTAGTGTTTTTCCAGTTATCATATGTCATCTTCAGATGCAACGTGTGAATTTTGTGATTATGAGTCAATAGTAGGAGAAATGGTATTTACTGAGCTAGCCAACTGGTATTTTCTTCATACTTTGTGTTCTCCTTGGCACATATAGAAAACAACAACAAAGACTGATTCAAATGTTTCACAAAACTCTTTTTTCAATCTTGAAACAATTTGAACCAATCAACTTAAACACTGGTTGCCATGGCTTTGAGTCTATAAGCTCATAATTAGAATAATCAGTTTAGAAGAAAGCACTATTTTGTACCCTGTTAAAAGAGTCTAAAAAGGGGTTGTTTTTGTTAATTGGTGTGTGTGTGTGTGTGTGTGTGTGTGTGTGTGTGTGTGTGTGTGTGTGTGTGTGTGTGTGTGTGTGTGTGTGTGTGTGTGTGTGTGTGTGTGTGGGGTGCTATTGCTAGCATTAGGTTTTACAGGTTGGGAATAGCTAGCAATGTTTTTCCCCTGGTCAACCCATAGAAAGACATCCCTTCATCTATACACTTCAAAGCATGTGATGGAATATTTCTGTCTTTCTGAGCAGCCAGATGCTCATGGCTCCTCACTGGCTTTGATTGTTCTTGAATCAGCGGTAGGCCAAAGCTTTCACTGCAGGATTCTGGGTAGACAATTGGCCTGTGAAAGCAGAACGTCGCCTTGCCTCGCTGGTTTCGACTGCTTATATAAATGGATGCTATAGCCACGGACAAGAGCAGCTGAGGAATTCGATAAGTGAATCATAAAATCTAAAAAATACCATTTAAGGTCCAATGGGAAAAGTGAAACGCTCTAATTACCTTTTTTAGATGTTAAATCGATTGTGAAATCCTAGTTGCCATTTTCTGTACACTTTCGTGGGATTCCTTTCCCGTTCATTGTCAGTAAACTCTGGCTCTTTTAATCCTACCGAGCGTGTTTCTTGGCCAAACCTGACAGCAGGGGTGTCAGCTTCCATGACCACTAGGACAATATTTAACTTTACACTTTTCAATCCTCTTCATTTAAAAAAAAAGTTGCAAGAATTTAAAAGTAATATCCTCAATGTAGTAAAAACAAGTAACAGAGCATCATTAAAAAAACATGTTCTGAATGGCGTCTTGCTATATGAAAGACCGACGTAAAAGAAGCTTGTGTCTTAGTATAGCTGGTTAAACTACTATAATGAGTGGTCTTGATCCATTACCACAGAAAATGAATGTATAGTTATGAGTCTGATTGCTGAAACACCCGAGAGAGAGAATCTATAGAATTCTCCTTCAGTAAAATGATGATTAATAACAAGTTGCAATGCCATGCTTGACCATTTTGAGTCTTTTAAGAAGTTACATGGAGTTTCTTGTCAGTACATCATTCTGTCTAAATTAAATTTGGTGTTTTGTACACCTTATGCTGTGCAGAAAATGAAGAGTTTAAACAGCTACCCTGGAAGCCACCATACATAGAAAGTTCGGCAGAGGAAGCCATTAAAGAAGTTATTCTTCCATTTTACTTCAAAGTGGCATTGATGGAAAAGCTTGAGCAAAAAGGGGGAACTTTCTGCATTCTTTCACATTTTTATTTTAAATCTGCACCATGTGGTCCATTTTTTCTTCCTGAAGGGTTGTGTAAAGACAGTCACAGATGATAACAGTTTAATCACAGAATGATTGTTGTGGAAATGATGCTTGATGAACTCTGTGTGAAATGTATTTATTTATTTGTTTGTTTTGACAGCGACAGTGTACAGCCAATTAGCTGTACCAGAGTTGGCTATACGCTAATTTACATCTGTAGTCCCTGTGCAGGAGACAGAGACAATGTCTCTGTGAAGAAACACAACATACACTAACATCTTCACAACCACTGCACAATAACATTACATTAGTCCACAGTGACATTCACAGATGAAATGTACAAGGCCAAATGTATAAGGTGTGAAATTGTCACTATCTCATGATTGATTAAGTAATGCAGTATTTTTAAAGAAAAACTGGCTAGCATGCTATATAATTTGCAGTGAAAAAAACAATTTGAGTGTTTAATTCAGTCTGAAATATTTCAGGTGTGTTGATCCTTCCCCTCACCAGCTATTCTCCAGGGACCAGTGTGGGCCTTGCTCTTCCACCTGCCACCCCCATCCTCCCAATGGGACATCCCTGCAGAACAACTGCAATCTAAAGCACCCCAGGCAGCCTGCTGGTCTAACAGATCACAACCCAGGTACTCGTACATTTATCAGCAGTGCATTCTGCTGGGTTTCCAAACAGATGCAAATACAGTTTTACAATGTATTATATTACATTGTAAAACCTCTTTGTCTCCAAGGTTTGATAGTCTTTTTTTTCACACATGGCTGATAATCATGCAATACATCTTGCAATATATCTCAACGATGTAAGGTAGATGTTTTTCTAGTTGGAAAGAATCTCGCAGCACCTTTAAATAGATATCACCTCTTTTCACCTCAGCGTTGACTTCCACAGTGATGTCGACAAGGTGTTCAGAAACACACTGGTTAGCATTAACTGCTGGCATAAAGACAATGTATTTAAAGACTGAGAGCACATTTGTTTCTTTTTCACCTGACTGTATAAATAAAGAAAAAACAGAGATACTTTAACTGAATGTCTTTATAATAAGAATACATGATTGAGACACTGTCATTTATCCTGCAGAGCTCTCCATGAGAATAAGTTTGCTGTATTCTACTCCACAATATGCTGGGATCACAGCGCAGGCAAGCTCAACTCACCTAATACAAGACGATGCCTTTGGTAGCAGCCTCGCTCCAGCAGTCAATAATCCCAATGGGGTGGCTGCTTTACCCTCAGCTCTTTCCTGTAATACAGGTAATGAAAATACACTCAAACCACAATTGCTCTATGATGAGCTTTTCATTGCCATTGGATTTTATAACTCTTGCTGTGCATACATGCATCAATATATTTCTGTGTGTGTGTGTGTGTGTGCGTGTGCGTGCGTGCGTGTGTGTGTGTGTGCGCGTGTGTGGCTGTGCCTGCAGGATTTGACGTCCACTGCCAAGTACAGGGTGTAACTCCTGATGAAGAGGTTCATGCAGAGGATTTCTTCAGTGTGGTGGACCACAGCAAAAGCCAGCTCTCCTGCATCTATACGGAGTGATAATCATCAACTGCTGTTCCTTTGCACTGTTTGAAGTTTTAAGTCAAATGATTAATCGAAGTTATATTTTAGATTATACTGCAGCATATAGGCAGTTGTATTAAAACCATCTAAAAAGGATGATACTTTTCAAGCTAAAGCCTTTTTTCCCACCAAAAGTGCCAAGAACGTCTAGCCCTTGTGTCATAGTAAACAACAATCAACGCCACATCTCGGACGCCTCACGACCTCCCGTCAGAAAGTGTTGCATGTTTGATTTTTTTTCCTGCCTTCTACGATGTTTTCCAATGTCCACACCAAAAAAGAATGATGGAGTTGGTGCTTCGAGATGGAACTATGAGAAGCTTGTCGAGCTCTGGCAACAACATTTTTTCCGTTTTTGTTTACAGTTGGTCGTGCTGATGGGTCGCTTACCACCGTGTGGCCTGTGATTTTTGTCGGTCAAGTCATGGCACTGTGATCACCTAATCTGGCACAGTGACCATGGTAACAGACAATAAGGTTGCGTAGTCTGAAAACGTAAAGATTAGGCAAATTCGTTTACTGAAGTAAGAAGAAAAGGAAATTGAAGTTGGTCCTTAAGAATTTAAAAGACACAAAAGTAAGACTGCTTATAAGATACAAAAAGCTTTAGGGTGTGACCGACACTGAATGAACACAGAATTGGATACGCCAATATTTAAGACTAATTCATGGGAAAGAGAATGTCAACAGAAGAATCAGTTAAATATGAGGTCTCAGTAGTCTGATTTGAGGAGGCTCTACTGTTTCCTTTGCCATGGAATCAGGACCAACAATAGAGTCTTGAGATTATTTATTTAGCGGAAGAAATACAACAATCTTTAAATTCAAATAAGTGACCTTGTTTTCATAATGGCAACTCGCAACAGGGTGCAGGACCCCCAACTCAAAGCAGGGGGGGATCCTGTAACTCACAGAAACTTCATCAGAGTTGTAAATACCTAAGTATGGTATGGTGAAAATTAAGACAGTTAAAATACTTGCTACTCTGCCAGTTCTCAGGATGCTAAGAGTTCTCGACTGATCACAAACATTGCAAATCCCATCCCTGAAGAAAATAGAGACCTTTTGGGGGTTAAAATAGAGTCCCCGGCTCTAGAATTTGCATTCTGGTCCATGCAGTGGAAATGCACTTGTTACCTCAAGAACTTCCTAGTTCATGGGGAATGTAGTAGAAACACAGCCTTACAGTAGATAATGCATACCCTGCTTGAAACAGCCATAACAGAATCGACTCTTTTGTTCTTAGTCTCAATTTTTTTCGCTCTCTCCTTTCAACTCAATCTCTTGTGATCTTGTGCCTCAGTCATTTTTGTATAGTAATGACTTACCTACATAATTGCAATGATTACTTTCTTATTTTTTGATACTGCTTGTGAATAACATGTAGTTAAGGACTTCAACTAGTTTGTGGTGGTGTTTTGCACACCACCCAATACTGCAATCAAAGTGAGGTATGCACAGATCATTTAATAAGGGTTTTTCTTAGAACCAGGGCTTTGTAACTATAGTAACAAGACAGTCTTACCATTTCAATGTAATGTTCATAGACATAACCTATTGTTTGAATATGTGCTCTGAGGTTTCCAGTGCAGTGGATTTGTGTCGATAATCATACTAGTGATTTTGCATGATTTAGTTTGTTTTCTACAAATAACTTCACATTGCAATTGACCCTCTGTAATAGCATGGCATGAGAGTGTACATTTTAATGCTGGTTTGCATTAACAGCCATTCATTTCAGTAGATTTCCATATTGTATGAAGACTTACCTGTGGAGATGTAACAATGTGCTTCAAATGGATCAAATACCACAGTATTTACAGCTGTTTTTCTTTTGTTTGTTGTGTTGTTGACGTATGCATTGCACATATTCCAATCCAATTTGCACTTCCAACTCCATAACAAAACTAGATGTAAAAAACAACAGATCCATTTGTAATGGATCAAGAAAAAATTGAAAAAAGTGTATTCTTGTTTGTTTTGTCCTACTTTGTGTCACAACATGAAAATACATAAAACGAGTGTCAGCAATTCGGTTTCAGCATCACAGGATAACCTTTAGTGATGAGAACAAGGACGTTCCTTTACACATCAAGTGAGCCATGACACATAATCTGTTTCTTAAATTGTACTACAAGTTAAAAATAGGAGGCAAGAAATGTCCATTTATGTTTTTTTTGTTCTCCTAAAGAGGCTAGAAACAAACAGACATCTTGTTGTTCTGGAAAATGCTTTTCTAATTAGTAAGTGGAGATTTCTATAAAAAGAAAATTAAGCAGTTCTGTGCACTTTAAACCACATTATTTTCAGGCAAAAATTGACTCAATTAATCCTGACAGTATCTCGTAAGTGAGACAAACTTCAAAGGCAAAACAGAGCAACTATTTTGTCTTAGCATTAACTTAACATGGAATTCAAGAGGCTAACATTGAGTAAATCACAGACATAATTAGCAACAGCTGCTGTATACCTGAATGTATATAAAAACAGTGGGCATCATCAGTCTTCACAGCAGTGATCTCTTGTTTGAAATTGAAAGAACAAACTGTATTACTTGAAAATAATTCTTTTAGCAAAAGAGTGTCATGCTTCAGATGGGGATTTCAGTAGTTGCTTAGCAACAACAACAGCTTTTCCAAAAAGCATCTGTTTAGTTCTGCTAACCAAAAAAAAAAGTGCTGCGCAGTGGACACAGGTGGTTTGTGTTGTTGTGTGGTTTGCTTTGTTTACAGTAAGAAGCCTCTTAACAATGCTGGCTTTGTTTGTTCACTAATTGGAAAGTTATGTTTTAGTCCTACTTTTGTGTTGTGGTAATGGTTTTACTCATTGTAAAATTGTTTCACCAACTGCCAAAATGGTAAAGTAAAAATGTTGAGTATTTTTTTTATGTTGGCCTGAAAAGCAAAGCCAAGTTTGGCAGACAGAAGAGGGGCAGGTTGAAAATCAAACAAGAACAAATCATGTTAATTAAAACCTAAAGGGCAGTTTCAAACATAGACAAGTAACCCCTGAAATAACATTTGTCTACTTAGGTTAAGATAGACATTCCCTAAGGGGGCTTCACTTTTCAATATCAAAGAAGGACAGTGAGAAAAATAGCAGAAAATACAACATGATGGTCAATAACCCCACAGCACAGAAGAGAGGCAGTCACCCTTATGGCCTTTCCCTCCATCTGGTATATGGTGAATACTGGGCGCTGCCTGTGCAAACTTGTGGTTAAAAATTCACACTAACACTATGATGCATAACAGGTCAATGAAAGGCAATTATTCCGTCTGGATCTTTTTTTGTAAGTGATACAGACCAAGCTGTGCCCAGTTAATATCTTATGCCTTAACAACTTTCACTGAGGAGGTATTGGTAAAACAGAAAAAGTGTTCAATTCTGCAGTTTTTTTTTTTTTTTGGAAAGATTTACATGGCCAAAGTAATGCAAATGGTTTATCGCCTTTTGTATATTTTTGGTGTTTTTTATTTTTTATTAAATTAGGCCTGATTTCAGTCAATAAAAAGTGAATATCAGCAAAAAAAAAACTGAACAGAATTGTTAATTAAAAAAGAAGAGTGACAAAGCACAGGGCAACATACACCTGAATCTTACTATGTGAGCATATAGCCCATTATTGCCGCATACATTTTGTAACTTCAAGAATCACAAGCTGTGCAAGGCACGGCGTGTTTATTTAGTACATCTATGCAAAAAAAGACAATTGAAAGTGCTTCACGCACAAGACATCAAAAGCATCATGACGAAGGGAAACAGAAACATTAATGTGCCATGAATCATCGTCTGTGAAGGACCTTCCAGGATTATTTACAGCCTATAAATAAATACCAATATTACTAGCCTACACCATGAAGGTCCTGGATCACCAGGGTTGGGTGTGCGTAAAACGTAAAAGCCAAGGGTTAAATCAAAACCAACCAGAGAGGCCTATATGAGAATAGATCTACAACCGTTGTCTTTTGTGCAACAACGACAACCATTTTCTGACTTTATTTCGACATATTTTAACATGTAGGATATTTTTTTTAAGTCCTAAAAATATATCATCGTAAGCAAGGGCTCCGCTGGTGTGGTTAGCCTTGAAATATATTTTTCTATACATAAATGCAGTCTTTTGACTTTTGGGTGTGATCTTATTTCCTATAAATGTATTAAGTGCGCTTTAATCTCCTCCCACCTGCCTGGTAAGGTTGCGCGCTCCCGTTGAGTTTTATAGCAACTGTTGCCCAGTGAGGCAGCGCCATAGTCACCGTAGTCCTGGCGACTGTAACCCACCAACAACAACCTCTCGCTCCATCATTACCACCTCCTCCACCATCCTCATCTCATCAACCAGTCCACGGCTCAGGTTTGAACACATTTATTGCTGATTTATTTAGCCTCCGTTCAACTCCTCTCTCTCTCTCGCTTTTCGGGGTTTAATTCCGCAGAGTGGGAGAATATATTGCTTTGGGGGGTTTTCAGGGTTTTTTTGTGTGTGTGCTGCTGAATGAACGCTCGGTGAATAGCTGGGGTAGTTTTTTGCTAGCGAGGGTGTTTCTTTGTGACGTGGTAGCCTGATTGCTAACGTTGCCTGTAGATACCCACAGCTGAGCTAGCTGTGTCCCCCCCCCCCCCTCAAAGAGTGCATTGTGGCTAAAATTGGCAACTCGGCAGAAGGAGTGCGCTGCTGTTTTATATTTTCTGTGTAAACTACACCATACCGAGTGGGTAGCATCGGTCTTTGGCTAGTCGAGGATGCTAGCTGGTCAGCTGGAGTAGGAGCAGGTGTCTGTTGTTGCTAGGTTGCTAACGCCAGCGTTGCCTTCTTTACAATGCCTGTTGGTATCCCCTCTTTTTTAATAGCTCATGTTGCGGTGATACAGCACCGTTTCTTCAAATCCTGTCGGTTGTACTGAATAAATAACGCCACTCAATAATGGCAAGTGCTGCAAGCTAGAAGTGCACACAATAACTGCTATTGACAATAGCTAAGCCATTACTTTCCCTTTTGTCTTAGGGAGCAAAGATAGCGTCGCTAGCTTTCCATCTGCCCTCTTTGTGGCTTCGGATGGCCATGATAAGCTATCTGATAAGAAAAGGCTAAGTTTTTTTTTTTTTTGTAGTGGTCAGCTTTATGTGAGAAAACACCTGCCGTTTATAAATCAAATGCCCCAATGTTAATACTCTTTTTCTTCTACTATTCGGTTATTTTTTTTTTCTGTGCGCACAACGTCAAGATGTATCCATCCGTTTGTGACCCAGGTATCCTCAGTGTACTTTTTAAGTGCTGCAAGATCACTTGTGTATTTATGTGTATATTTCCCTTGTAGCGTAGAAAGGGAAATCACTCCAGCGTTTCACTTCTACGTGGGGATGATTATGATTATTTGGTGTTATTTTATGTGGTTGAGCTTTTGCACACATAGCTTTTGGTTATATTATTAAATTCGTGGCAGGCCATATTCCCTTTTTTCCTATTTTTCAGATATTCTAGAACTTACATTTGAGTACTCTTCGATCCTCAGGTGGGTTGTATAGCAGATACTTGATTCCTTAACGTTGCATCACAATCATTTCTTAGGTCCATTGGGTTTTCTGTGCAGCTGTGACCTCTGATTTATTGTGATGGGAGCAAACAGGTGTGTGAGTGTGTGTGTGTGTGTGTGTGTGTGTGTGTGTGTGCAGAGGTGAGTGGAGGACAGCTGCAGCTTTAGTAGCAGTGAGACTCCTGACTGACTTGGCCTATCTGCATGTGTCCACCATGAGGAGTAACACAAATGTATTTTCTATCAACATCCCTTGAATCTTTTTGAATGCATATACAATGAACTGGTAAATTTCAAATGTAGTAAGTCATGTGTCTAACAGCCATCATTGGTATGCAAGGGACATGGCAAGACATATGGTGAAGCCTAAAAGTGGTCAAAATATATCTATCTATCGGCAGATGCATCCCAAATTAGGCCATAGATGGACACCTTTCCACACACACACACACACAACACACACAAACACACAAAACAGGATGTTGAGAACTGCTAGTTATCAGATCATATTACCACTTACCTGTAGTCCAGCAGAGCAGAAATAGTACCATGCCACCTGCTGCCTGGATCCTGTTACATTTCCAATCACTTAAAGAGGGGCTGATTAATTCAATTATTCAGTCATCCATTTTCATGGCTTAGTAGAATACAGCATGTTGGGTTTGTTATTTTCCCCGGTCTGACAGAAATAATGTACTGTATGTTGTTAATGAAAGAGGAGACTCTAAATGTCCTTGGGTATTCATTCCTAAATGCACATCTGTAGAGTGCAGAAAATAGAATAAAACCAAATGTTTCAAGAATATTCAGCACTTTGACATTTGTGTCCAGGTTTTGCTTAATATAAATAACCCGGATGCAATGCATTTGACATCAAATAAAAATCAGGAGTAATTCGGAATAAAACTCTTCCCACTTTTCGTCTAATCTGAAAACCCAAGTCCTAAACAAACACAGCACTTTGCATACTTCCCCCCCACTCAAGCTCCCAATGACACCTCCCTCCACCTGTTTTCTTCCTGTAGTAGCTCGTTATTGTGCTTCGGTTTTGTCTTGGTTTGCGTGCACTGTATTATACTTTTTAACATTGTTGACAAACCAGCACTTGTTTTTTTTTTTTTGTCAGACTCCACCTTTGTCATGCATGATCATTAGAACAGCAAATCATGCCTCTGTTTAATTTTTGGTTGCTGCATATGTGAACGTCTCCTCTTTGTGTTGCCTGTAGTGTCAAGCAAGAGGAATTGAGGGGAGCAAATGCAGGGCAAAATGTTGCCCTCCTTGGTGGCTTTTGTTCCTCCGTGTCTTTGTAGGGCTTGCACTTGCTCAGTGGAGCACAGTATTTAAGTGGGCCACAAGGGAGTGCCTGAATTGTGTGTGTGTGTGTGTATGTGTGTGTGTGTGTGTGTGTGTTGTGTGTGTGTGTGTGTGTGTGTGTGTGTGGGGTTGAGGCAACAACAGTGTGTTGTGATGCAGGTTTTTTTTTTCCTCGATTAGGTGGGCTCAGTTGAGACCATGTACTTCAGCTTTCAAACTGCACAGTGGCATATAAGTCTAAATTCTCCTCCCCTTATGACTATTTTTTTTAATTATTGCAAGCTAAGCTATAGGCCACAGTTTGACTGTGTGCTTTGAAATGGTTTGTCAGTTTGTTTACCCCTATCCTCTTGCACCTTAAGATAAAGCTGTTGTCTGTGTGTCTGTCACAACATCCTTACCATAAATGTCGTCAGTGTTAATGTTTTTTTTGTAAAATGATTGCCTTGATGAAATCACAGAATGTAAATATTTGAACTTGATAGTAGTTTATTTCTTCCATCGGCCTGTCTGGCAACAGCCAGCTGACATGTCTGTCAGTAATAGCACACATTATGCCCTTTCCCAAGGTGTTCAAAACAGTCAGGCTGAGGCAGAAGGAGGCTTTGTTTAAAATGCCCCTGTTTGTTCAGAGAAGAATGCAAAACTTTGCCTCACACTCTCAGCACACCAGGAAAGACTGGCCAACTTAAAGTTTGTGATTCCTCTCCTGTAAACAAATAAAGTGACAAAAGAAGAAACAGGCCAGTGTGGTACTGAAGATAAAGGGAAGGGGCAGGCTCTCCCTCAGGAGATTTGAAGCTGTTAGGAGACCCAGCTTAATTAACCAAGAGGGGCTTGTTCATGGAAACTGTGATGGGGAGGAGGTGGCCTCCTCTCGAAAGAATTGGTGATGCCCTTACTATTATAAACTCACAAACACTCGTTTGACAGTAGGGACTTTCCACACTCTTATCCTTATCATCAAAATGGTTCACTCTAGCCTTCGATTATCAAGAGCAGAAGGACTTGTGCATGTAAAGGTATAACTCTCAGTACTGATTTAAAATCTCAAGTAACATTAAACCTGTGAATGTGGGGACTGAGTGAACAACCAGAAGCAGCATCTATTTGGAGCTTGTTAAATATTAACTTGTTTTATGGCTGTGAACATGGTGACAAGACCATGTGTCGCTGATGCATGAGGCTCTCAGTACATTGAGTACCACAAGGCAGAAACAAGTGCTTGGGCAGAATTACTCTTGAGCAGCTTCTGTAGCATTGATTTGGGTAAAAGAAACAAGGGTCTGTGGTTAAACCTTATGTCTTCTATTAAGCGTAGCTTTGTTAGTTTCTCACTTGGGCATATTTTATGTCCCTGGCTAACCAAATCATGTGGGACATTATTAGATTTATTTTCAATGCAAATCTTTAGGCATGTAATATGATGGATTTGTTTTGAAAGGCAGTATGTCCTGGACAAATGGTAGGTCAAGGTACACAAGTTATTGAAAAAGAAAGTCACACATTTTATGATTATTACACGAGTTGTTATAAAAGAAGATGTATGTTTAGTACTTACATCTTCCCCATTGCACAAATTGTATGAATATGTTATCTTAATCTGTTTAAGTGAGTTATTCATCTTTGAAGCTACGTCAGTGTCTGCTACATGATGCATTTAGAATTATGATGTTGTTATGGAGTCGGACTCTTGCTCACCCCAGAAGTTTAAGAGGGTTTTTGGTTTTCAGATATTGTTTCTACCATCCACTCTGTTGCTGTCCTATTTAGGCGCCATGCAGACCCCTGAAGCAGGCGCTGACTCCACCTCCACTGTCCCTCTTCAGACCACCGTGCCTGTCCAGCCTACCGGCTCCACCCAGCAGGTGCCTGTCCAGCAACAGGTAGTTGTTATATCCAGCCTGCCTGTGCACGCTACATAAGAGTTTTTGACTGTATTTGTCCTTGCAATATGTGACTTTAGTCAATTAAATTGTTAATATGCAACTCTTGAAATGTGTCCTGCCAGGCCCAGACTGTTCAACAGGTTCAGCATGTTTACCCAGCACAGGTGCAGTATGTGGAGGAAAACAGTGGTGTCTACACTAACGGCAACATGTGAGTCAGTCTGTCACCCAGCTCTGCTCTTACACCACTTCACAAATATTAGCCCTGCGTCTCTGCAACCTGCTCCTTCTCCTCTTAAGTCTCTTCACACCATCATTCATGTCACAAGCACATGATGGTGGTGGTGAGAGTGCGTCTGGTTTTTCATGTGTGTTGTTTTATTCTTTTTTGTAAGGGGGTGTGCAGTTTGTTTGATTGTGCTCAGTCACCTGAACATATTTAGAAGTGGGCTTGTCTTGTCAGTGCTGACTCTGTGCCAGGGTCCCCTGTGTCTGAAGAATGGGTTTACAATACTACTAACAAGCCGATCTCAGTTTGTCCTACTGTGATAACACACACACTCAAAAATGTGTGTACACAAGCCTCACCTACCAGGGGGATCAGTCATAGAGGAGTCTTGGATAGTAATAAAAAAATAAAATAAATCAAACAGCTGGACTAATAAACTGAGAACTGAGCTCTAATAACTTCAGATGACATGTTTCAAATATATATATATCTGTTTTTGCTGGCTTTGTTATGACAATTGTTATTGACGTGTTTAACTGTTCACAGACACAATGAACACATGTCATTTATTATTGTTACCATAGAAGCTCAAAAGGCATCTCACAAGTATAAGATGCTGTACTTGGTCTAGATCAGCCTTATTCTGATAAAAAAATAAAATAAAGCTAATCTAAAAGTTTGCTTAACTATTTATTCATTGTCTCCACGTTGACTGAATCAAAAACTTCTCATTGACTGCGGCCCTTTAATCAGTTATTAAAAGATTATAAATATGGAAAAAGTATTGAAACATTGATTTCTTATTCTGTTGATGCGAACCGCAGTCCATTTGTCACATTGTCTGATTATTAGAATAAAAGTTGGCTATTTGGCTCATTCATTCGTTGTGCCGGTTGTTACGTTTTAGGAGCTTTAGCTCAGGCTCTTGAGGATAGGAGATTTAGGAGAGGCAAAGGGAATAGAAAATGTCGCTGCAACTAAATTAAACAAATCCTTTTTCTATTCTTGGATTAAAAAGCAAAGTTCATTCTTAACAGTATAGGTTTGACAAAAGGTAATAACCTCTTGGTACTTAGTCACCTTTTAAAAACACATGTTAATAGGCCTTATGTTGGCCATTTTATCCCAAAGTTGAATGAACTCTGTCTGTTGTGACTTGTTGACTGACCGCTAGCCTCCCTTCTGAACAGAAGAACCTACTCCTACTCAGAGCCGCAGCTGTACAGCCAGAACAGTGGAGGGAGCTACTTCGACACGCAGGGCAGCTCATCACAAGTGTCCACTGTGGTGACATCTCATGGCATGACCAACAACGGAGGAGGGGGCAGCGGAGGAATGAACATGAACCTGGCAGGGGGTCAGGTCCTCAGCAGCAGCCCAGGGGCTTACATCATGGACAACGCTGGACCCCACCCTGCCACCCAGACCGCACGAGCTTCCCCGGCTACTGTAAGTGCACAGATCTTTCACCTGCCTATGCTAGACTCTCGCTGTTAGAATAGTTCATCACTATCTCTCATACTTAATTATCAATATCTTCCAAAAGCTTCGGTGTTACACTAAAAAGATTAAATCTTGTCTGCACCTTCTCCATGAAGGGGTATGGTGTTTCCTCTCTATGTTGCAATAATCCTTTGCTAATGGATGCAGTGCACTACGTAGGTGGGGCCTGTAGTGATCCAACTACAGCCAGTTGTTTTCATTTGAACACTTAATATTCAATGTTCAGCTAATACACACCTTTGTCTCCATCCCTGGCCTAAACTGTCTGTAATTCATCCATGTTGGGGTTGCAGAAATGTTTGAGAATGTCCTTCTGGAGATGCAGAAGTGAGAAAACCTAAATCCAGTAATAAAGAAATGTTTTTTTTTTAGTGTTCTCAAAGTGAGTTTAAGTGTGCAGCCAATCCAAAGTAATATACCTGATGAGATGAATTAAACATATATATATTGATTAAATGTATATTATTAAACAAAAAATGCTAAATGCAAATAATCATGAGTAATACACCAGCTTTCCATCATCTCATGATGTTGACCTTCAGGTGTAACTAAATTATCTTTGCACACTGCTTTTGTTTCTGTAATCATGGCTTGTATTACAGTTGTTATAAGTGAATATATACTAGTGGAATCTTGTTGGGTTGTGTGACTGCCAGCTGATGTATTTAGTTGAGTCTTAAGTCTACCATACTTGGTTTCCTTAAATGACAGGTAGTCCTGCTCTGCTTGGGTTTAGTGGTGCTTCCTTCTACACACTTTTTATTTTTTGTTGGTGGCTACTTCAGTGTCTACATCATCTCTATATCTTTTCTCTCTTTTGTTTTTATTCCCCCTTCTTACATTTTGTTGTCCTGTGCTTCATGGTTTTATCAGATTGAAATGGCGATTGAGACGCTCCAAAAATCTGAAGGTTTATCGAGTCAGAGAAGCTCGCTGCTCAACAGCCATGTAAGTTGCTTTTTATGAATGCTTTCCCTCGCTTTACCTTGACTTTTGCTTGAATAAATCTCTTCTTTTCTTCCTCTCTGAGCTCAATTTTACATTTAAGTTAAATGTGGGGTTTGCTGTTTTTTGTTGCTTCCAGTTTAATATTTACTCTCGCTTTAAATCCGCTTGCTGCATAGACATGCTCCTGCAGTGGTGTGATGCTGCAGCATCAAGATTAGACTGTCAGCCTGAGGTCTTGCCAGACAGTTTGTGTGGACCAGTGTGAGTCTCCTGAGAAAAACAAACATGTATTCTCTTGTAGCTCCAGTGGCTGTTGGACAATTATGAGACAGCAGAGGGCGTAAGTCTACCACGATCCACCCTCTACAATCATTATCTGCGCCACTGCCAAGAGCAGAAACTGGACCCTGTAAATGCAGCCTCTTTTGGCAAACTCATCCGCTCCATCTTCATGGGACTCCGTACAAGGCGCCTTGGGACAAGGTAAGATACTTGTTTTAGATTTCCTTTTGTTGAATCAAGGAAAATGTTTTATTTTGTTTTTTTTATTTATTTATTTTTGATGCCTGTCTTATCGTATTCTTTTGTCCTGCAGAGGAAACTCGAAATACCATTACTATGGTATACGAGTGAAACCAGACTCCCCACTAAACCGACTCCAAGAAGACATGCAGTACATGGCCCTGAGACAGCAGCCTGTTCAACAGAAACAGAGGTACACACGCATCCAGATATGCGACACTTGATGTGACACATGTTGGGGGTTTTGTTTGTACTAACTGAGGCGAGTGTTTTGTTTTCAGGTTTAAGCCAGTGCAAAAGTTCGACAGCTGCTCTGGGGAAAATTATTCAGGCGGAGGTCAGCCCCTTCCTGGTGCAGCAGAGCAGACGGTCATTGCACAGAGCCAACACCACCAGCAGTTCCTGGGTCAGCTACTTTTTACTTTATCTGAATGTCTACCTGTCCGAATCAAATTATTATTATTATTTTTTTTAAGAGAAGTACAAAACAATAAATTTCATATTTTCTCAACCAAACAGATGCATCGCGGGCACTCCCTGACTTTGTGGAGCTGGACCTGGGACAGAGCAATACAGAGAACATCAGCCCAGAAGACGTGAAAGCTCTCCAGTCCCTTTACAGAGAGCACTGTGAGGTTAGATACAAGTGCACACTTTTAGTTGAATTCACAGGGAGAACAGACGGGAGGGTTGCACTACAGAGCAGAAAAGCTATCTCCTGTACATCATCATCAATATAACTATGCGGGCATTGACGATGCATCTACTCATAGCTTTCAGTCACATGACAGGATCCGAGGTCTGGAGGGCCAAAAGAGTTTAGGAAAGTTTTAAACACCATTGAACACTCTGTGAGGTTCACTGTGAGCTTGTTCATTTTGTACTTGAGCTTGTTCACTATTTCAGTCGGTAGAAATAGCAAAGTCTTTGCTAGAACTTTTCGTTGATGTTTACATAAATAGTTGAGAATCCTCCCCTTGCACAGCCACCAGGATGAAAGCCTTCAAAAGGTACTGACAGCTCTTTATATTTTTTATGTGGCTGAGTTAATAATGCTGCTGTTTGGGAAGTAAAGGGCAAGAATTATTCATCATCAAAGCATAGGTGAGGGCTAGATATTTATCATAAGCTAATAAACTAGCATGAGGATTACTCTGAGCTGTCACTTTCAGTCAGTGTTCCTGGGCAGTGATGTTGGTTAAGAGGCAGTCATGTTTTGCTCAAGTTAACAGTATTTTAGTTCCCTCACCAGGGACAGCGGAGCGATTAATAGCATTATTCCACATTCTCCACATCTCTGGGGATTCAGTTGAATTACAACCTTGCTTGTCTCTTTGTCTGTTAGTTGTTGTTTAATCAAATGCACTATCTAAAAAGAAAATTGAGACAGAAAACTACTCAGTGGAGTGCAGACCATTAGTGTGAGTCAACATGTGAAAACTATGTATTGATCTTCCACCGGACAAGCTACTTGTCCATCCATTAAATATTTTTTTTCATCTATGTTTTTATTTTCTCTAAGAATCAATCCATGCTTTTTCCCCCTTCCACATTTATACAGAAGATTCAGTCCTTCAGCATCCATGGCTGTTTAGTTTCATCCTTTTTAAGCTTTTGTTTAATGAGAAGTGGCCGCTGAGACTCAAATGCTGAGCTGAAGTTTTGCAGGTTTAGAAACTCCTTTTTTTTTTCTTTCTTTTTTTAAAGTTTGGCTGAAATCAGAGGGGGGGAAACTTTGTGAAAGGTCATGTGTGCATATTATGACATAGGTTTTGTAAATGCCAGCTGCTGGCATTTAGGAACACATTTTCCTCTTCATCTTGTAGAGTTTTCAATCACAGCTCCACTAATGTCTGACAGGACATTAGTGGAGCTAGGTATCAGGCTAGGGATCTAGGAGCTAGGGATCAGGTCAGCCACAGGTGCTGACCCATTACTTATCTCTGCCTTCTTATTATTAGAGTCACTGTTCCCTCATATTAGAAAAGTAAAATAAACTTCCTCACATGTCACACATTGACAGTAAACACTATCCTGGGTCTTGAGAGGGAATAGTTGTTGTTTTTTGTTAACTCTCTGCTCTGGTTTCAGGCTATCCTGGATGTGGTTGTCAACCTCCAGTTCAGTCTAATTGAGAAGCTGTGGCAGACGTTTTGGCGTTATTCTCCCCCTGACTCTGTAGAGGGCGCCACTGTAACAGAAAACAGGTGAGGTCAAGAAGATTTTAGTCTCAGATAGTCAGTGAGTGTTTGTTTAAAGAAACATTTTACCAGCCAGGACTTTACTCCCCCCCCCCCCCCCCCCACCTGAAAATTCAAATACACCTTTGTAAGACTGTTTTGTTTGTTCTTTAGCAGCATAAGTGAGATTGAAGGCCGGCTCCCACGCTCACAGCTACTGGTGCTGTGCAGAAACGAGGCTGTGCTGAAATGGATGAGCACCTGTGACCATCTAATGTACCAGTCCCTCGTGGAGATCCTCATTCCTGATGTCCTGAGACCCATTCCCAGTGAGCAGCAGTTATACAAACCTGGCTTTACCTAATTACTGTGTATATCATTCCAGTTATTAAGTCTGTGGACCTTTTTTTGTTGTATTTCTTCAGGTGCCTTGACTCAAGCCATTCGCAACTTTGCCAAAAGCCTGGAAGGTTGGCTCAATAATGCCATGAATGCCATTCCACAGAGAATGATCCAGACCAAGGTACACTCGCTACATTTACGCAGTTTACCTTTGTGAAGGTGTGGCACATAAATACCCCCTGTGTTTGTTTCTAAAATACACATTTTATGGAAAAGGCCTAACTTAGGTAGGCTTATGTATAACTGTTGGTAACAGCCTGGATTTTGTGTGCACTCTTGTCACAGATAGCTGCTGTTAGTGCCTTTGCGCAAACACTGCGCAGATACACATCTCTGAACCACCTGGCTCAGGCGGCACGTGCTGTGTTGCAAAACACATCACAGATCAACCAGATGCTGAGTGATCTCAACCGTGTTGACTTTGCCAACGTGCAGGTGAGAAAAGCAGTGTGTTTTCAATAAGCTCTAAATCTAAATATTCCAGGTGTTAATCTATACCTCCTCTATTCTCTTCTCAGTCACACAAGTATATTTGTTTTTAACTCTCAAGTGTACAAACATTTTTCTCTATGTTGCTTTACAGGAGCAGGCATCTTGGGTGTGCCAGTGTGAGGAGGGAGTGGTTCAGCACTTGGAGCAGGACTTTAAGGCGACACTGCAGCAGCAGAGTTCTCTGGAGCAGTGGGCGGCCTGGCTGGACAATGTGGTCACTCAGGTGCTCAAGCCTTACGAGCACAGGCCTAGTTTCCCCAGGCAGCTCGACAGTTCCTGCTCAAGTGGTCCTTCTACAGGTATGCGACTGGAAAAAGTCTGTGAGTGAGCAGCATTGTTTTGCTGAGGAAACAAATACTTACATTGTTATTTTTAATGTGTCTGCAGTTCTATGGTGATCAGGGACCTGACACTGCGCAGTGCTGCCAGCTTCGGTTCCTTCCACCTGATTCGCCTGCTATATGACGAGTACATGTTTTATCTGGTGGAGCATCGGGTGGCCCAGGCTACTGGAGAGACACCCATCGGTGTCATGGGGGAGGTATTACTGTGGCATCTTCATACTGTTTGTTTTGTATTTATATCTGGATAATACACTGCTTTTGAGATGTGAAATGATCTCTGTTGAGTCCATTTTTATCTCTATTTCAGTTTGACAGCCTCAACTCCCTGTCTCTAACGAACATTGACAAAGGTATGTGGAAAATATATTATGAGTATTTAATCTGTTACAAGAAGACTGATCTGACATTTATGTTAAGGTATATTCATTTTTCCATTTTATGCCGAGGTCAGACTACACAATCTTTATGTCCGTGACGATTGTCAAAGTGTCAGATTAGGCGATCACAGAGCCATAACAGACCTGACAGACTACAGGGTGGTACCCGACTGATCATCAAAACCGATGTGATAATGTTGAAGCAAGAGATGCTGAACTAGACCACACACCCGAAAGTTACGCTCGTAACTACTGCACGTACAGAGCACTCCTTACTGGTCAACATGACTGGTGTGATGGACGCATCATAGAAGGCAGAAAGCAAAATTAAACATGCTAGACATTTTTCTGTCGGGAGTTTGTGAGGTGTCCAGATGTCGTTCACTGTTGAAGCAATACACAGGGACACAAACAGGTCCGTAGTCCGCTGGATCGGGCTTAAATCATTCTTATAACGTGTATCCTGACCTCGGCATTAGACGACTTAGTGTCTTTTATCACTCAGACGTATTCAGCGTTCATATAGATCAGTGAAAGCGGTTGACTAGTGTATGTGGTCAATGTGCCGAGACTTAAAAGACTTTCATTACAGAGACTGAGATTTTGGCTAAATCATAACACAGTGTAAAAGCACACGGGTAAACCATCCCTTTAAACTACTTTGATTGATGTATTTGTGTACTCTATTATTAAGAAAAGCTTTACCTGTGGAAAAACAGTGTTTTTAGTGTAAAAATGTCATGAAGTTGAATAGAGAAAAAGCCATATTAATCAGTTATAGCAGCAGAACAGCAAACATGAGTTGAAGTGGGGAATGTTTTTAACAAGACAACAGTGAATTCATCAACTTGGCATGTAGGGAAAATAAATTGATATTCGAATGTTCAAAAGCAACAAATGAATGATGACCTTTTTAAAGTAGTTCAATGTAGCTTTATGTTCCATACATGTGTCGCTTTCTTTTGTCAAGATGAAACGAGTGGGATGGACAGTGACCTAGAGGACGACCTGGAAGAGACAGGGGAACCTCTCGCCAAGCGAGAGAAGTCAGAGCATGAGGTCATTCAGGTGATCCAGGTCGGGGCTTTAGAGGACGGGTCCCACCCTGTGGTCGGGGTCGTCCAGCCGGGCGTCCTCCACTCGCTGCCACAGCCCCAACAGGACCACAGTGAGCATATCCTTACCCCCTCTGCTGGCACTCCCACCATTCGCCACTGCAGCGCCACAGGAAACACCTATGCCTCTGTTTGAGGGTCTGAGGCTAACACAAGCTCTGACCTGTTTGTGCTATCTCTCTCTACATATCTCTCTATCTGTAAGTCTAGATGTTTACGTCTTTATCATGCATTGTGTCTGTCTGCACTTGTGTGGACACGCACTCCTCTCCCTCTCTATGCTCAGTCAACGGGGGAGTGCTGAAACGATACTCTGGCCAATATGTGCTGTTTATGTCTGACTGTTTAGATTCTGGGTGTGTTGTCATCCCATTAGTCTGTGCTCTCTCACAATGCAGCAGCTGGAGGAGAAGGACTTATCTAGCCCGGTAAATGTTTCCTGCCTAAAAAGACAGATTTTATTTTGAAGGAGAGTTAAACTCCTTTATACTACTGATGTCTCGGAGCTCAAATCCACCTCACTAGTCCCAGCAGAGCAAAGTCATCGATTAATTCAAGATCTTTGCCTATTGTAAATAATCTTTCTGTAATTTTAATTGGTATTTCCCAAAACTCATGGTGCTATCATTGTGTTTGTTTTGATTTTCCTTCTAATTTAAGTGTGATTTATGTCGACATGCATTCCAACTGCTGATTTGGCTGAACGGCTTATTTTGAGTATTGTATGTAGCTAAAACAAAACAAAGGGACCACTTTGTATGTATGTATTGCATTAGAAGAAAGGGATCATGGGATAGTTTTGTTGGTTCTTTTTGAAAAGATATAGCCACCCACTGATGACCACTTTTAGATTTTAGCCACAGAAAAAGTAACTCTTAAAAATCTGTGCTGCTACTTGTGTATATAGAAATGAGATCAAGACGACCGGCTGTACAAAACCACCTCCTCAATGCTAGCTTTTCTATGCACTCTGTGCATAACGCTTGCCTTTGTTCGTTTATGATGCTCTGTAGTGCAGTTTACATGACAAGCTCTAACCTTAAAACAACCTTAGATATGTATTCCTTTTTGGGTTTGTTTTGTTTTCTGCAGTTTCTGTCTTAGTGAAATCTCTTAAGTTCAAGAAGGACCAAAAACTAACCACGTAGAGGAAGCTGAAAGTGAACCATTTGGGCTGCCCATGAGCTGTTTCCTGTCCCACAGTGCCATGTCGCAGAGCAGAAGGAATGTCAGGGATTTAATGTACCTCGGCTTTATCATAGTGCCTTATCCTTAAAATGCAGCTGTCCTTTTCGTCCTGACTGTGTGCTGCAGAGAGCCCACGGCCCCCTCTGCATTGTCCCAGCCACACATTTTGGCTTGCTGGTGACTCGTGGCTGGATTTGGGCGGGCTCATCAGTGTCGAGATCAAGTGCTTGAGGCACAAACACACCTGTTGTTTTCTCTGGATCAGCTCTACTAAGCTTATGTGAATCATGGTTCTTAGCCTTGCTCCTGCCCTCCTGAGGCCTACTCTTGCATTAGCCTTTGTTACTGAGTGAAGTGTGTGTGCGTGTACGATTGCATAGGTCTGCACTGTCTTTTTTTATGTACTGTACATGTGTATATAAGCCTGCGTGTGTGTGTGTGTGTCTGCGTGCTTATGAGTATATGTTGGAACACATCCATCAGTCACCCTACCTCAAACCAGTGGTGCCAGCCCTTTTGACGCGTGCAGCACAGTCACCAAACCTTATTGCACACACACACACCACTGTACTGCACAACTCTCAACGCGACAGAGAAAAACGGCATTGCTTTTCTCTCACCTCTGACACATTTACACTTCAGTTTTTAGCCCATCAAATGCTTTCATCATTTTTGTTCCCTGTTTGAAGACCATCTTGTACAGTGGACCAAAAGTAGATATTTTGTGATATTCAAAGAGATCTAGATATATATATATATATATATATATATACATATGAATATAAATATATGTGTATAGTATATAATGATGAAACACTACATATATTTGTTGCTTTTTATGTGGTTAACCTGATGTGATTCTTTCTTTTGGTAGCTCCTCTGTAATTAATTCATATTAGACTGTGAAATGGGAAAAGGCATGGGGGACTAACTTCTGATTCATTGGACTGCATCTATACTTGAACTGTTCTAGCCTTCTTTGTTGTGCAGGAAACTGAGATTAATCCTCTTAATAGAAACAAAATGTTTCTAAAGTCAGTTTGTGTTCTTGTTTTAAATGCTTGAAATGATCTCCGTCTCTGTGCAGAACTGTTAATTTATTTATATTTATTGTGTTTTGGCAAAGATTATCACCCACTCTAACTTGTTAATTTGGGTATTGATAATGAATTGTGAATTATACCACTGCAATGTGCAGACCTACTGTACAGGAGGAGCAGGTGTTTGTTTTTTTGTTTTTCGTAGGTCAGGTACCGATACGTAGATGTATGTAGATAAAAAAAAAAGGGGGTTGGCACTGTATTTGCTGTATTCACACTACAAGTGTGCATTACTAATCAAATTATTCCTTCAGATACTAAAAGTAGACGGGCTCTTTGCCATTTTTTTTTTTTGTGTTGCTATATCTGTGTAGAAACTGACTTGGCAGTAAAGGGAGCGAGGGTGTCATAGGTTGTTAAAATATTTCCGGGACACTTTGAGGTAACCCTTACAGACACATTAAAACTACCGTACATCTCCCATAATGCCTGGCTGTTCCCACATCTGAGGAATCCAGTGCACACAAATCAAGCTTACTCATTGTGTTGCTTCTTGACAGTTAGAAAAAAAAAAAGACTGCAAGAAAAAGGTCAATGAACTTTAAGTAGCTGAAAGTTGAAGGCCCGAGGCGTTTTGTTTACAAGAGTCAGTGACCATCGTGAACTCTCAAAATGGATCGCTCCCTCACTCTTGGTGTTGAACTGTAGAATGTAAGTACAGAGAAAGTAATGAAACTGTCCAATAAAAAATGAATTCATAATAAATCTTAAGCCCTAAATCATCCTTTATACTTTTCTCTAGAGCTGCACATGAATCTGTGTTCATATAACTACCAAGAAAGGAACTACTTAATGACTACGAGCTCACTTGACTGACGCCAACACTCGCTGGGTGTTTGAGGATTTAATTGTAAAAAGTGATTTCTGTCTGTAGTTTAAATTTTAGCTTCTGTTGAAATCTGGATAGTGTGTACGGGTAAAGAATGAAGGCTTTGCTTACGACATCTTGAACTTTTTGTCATTGAATGCTTTTTAAAAAAAACGATGGATCTCGGCTCCTTTTTGTTTGATAAACGGACTACAACATTGTAGATGTAAACTTGTATAATTCTGTGCCTGAAGTGAAAATGGCTTTTAAAATGTTTTCTTTGTGTGCATTAGGATCATGAGTGCGTTCTGGTCTTGCACGCCTCCCATGTGCTGCTAGAAGTTTTCGTTCCTTTCTTCTTTTTTTTTTTTCTTTGTCTTTAAATAGATTCGATGTGCCAGACAGTGATTTAGCTTTCTGCATCTCAACGGCTGCCTGGAAAACACACAACTGATGTTAATGCTGCCAACACAATTGTACTTTATTTCTGTGTCTTTGAAATTGAAAAAGTAAGATTGTTCTTTTAACAAGCTGTTTGCAAAGAAGCCTGTTTCCAACAAGAAAAAAAAATCAATTCCTTTACTTGTCGTAGGAGTGGAGGGGGAAAAAAAAGTAAAAAAAAAAAAAAAAAAAAAGATGCCTCTCCTCGAGGACATAACGGCAGCTTCACTGACCCATAGCAGACTCCAGTGCCTTTAATTTCACCCTGGCCAGAGCAGGTGGCCTGGGTGACTATTGGGTCTCTGGTGGGCTACAGATAGAGGCTATCAGAGCAGACATTTCATTGCACAGGTGCTGCCGCCAAGGAAGCAGCTGGACTATTTATTATTTACTGGATGTGACACCACAACAAAACCACACACACACACAGACACACACTTAGGAGTTTACCGACAAATGGCTTTTTATTGTACAGAACTGGTTACTGAATAAGGAGAGTGACTGTAAGTAAAGAATGCTCTCTCTTTTGACTCGTTTTCTCATGGTCGTGATTTCTTTTTGTCAAATGATATTTCTGAATGCTGTGACCCGTTTGAGATTTGTATTTGGATGTTTTTCAAGTGCCATTTGACAGTGTCGTGAGTCGTGGCCAGCTGTAGCACGCTCTAATGCAAGCACAAGCATTTGGCAGTGGCATTTGGGGAAGTTATTATTGTTTTCGTTTTTTTTTTTTTTTTTTTGCTGATTCGCCCTAGACGGAAATATGTATATATCAAAAACTGAAAAAAGGTATATTTATTTGTGTCCTCATTATTTGATTTGTTCTTTCAGTGAACATTTTTATCAGATATGTATGGCTAAAGTGCTTTTGTGATTTCCTTCTCTTCTTTTTTTTTTTGTTCTTTTTGGATAATGTATAGTATCTGATATAATATATATTCACACAGATTTCATGTGACTTTCTTTATGTGCCATTTAGTTTTTCTTCTCAACTTGGCGAGCAAATCAATGCGTGTAGGGTGATTTGTATTGTGTATTTTACATCGGAAAAAAACAACAAGGAAAACTGGGGGACTTTTATATTTATAAAGACATGATCATTTAGTGTGTCGTATTGATGAATATAGAAACTATTAAAGACACATGTAGTTTGTTTTTTCTGAATATTTCAGATCTCAGCTCAGGCTAGCTTCTTAGTGTTGTTTTCTTAAAGATTTGTGACTTGTCTTTGCAGTAATAAACGTTTTCTTGTTGAACGTTGCGTTTCCTTTTTCATATTTTCATTCAAATGACGATCACACCACTTACAAAACAAAGTGTTAGCACATTACATTTTTGTTCAACCATATCCATAAATGTAAATACCAAACTCCGTATGCATGACATCATTGTAAAGATACAGATGAGAGTGAACCTGCATTTCCTGAAAATTGAACACCATTGCTCTTTTTTATTCTCAAATGTGATCAGTGGTATCTCGCTGTAAAGGTAGCAAGAGTATAAAATACTGCAATAGCTGTACGCAAACAGCTCCAAGTACCCCAAAAATGTTTCATCAACAGTGCTGAGAAATGACTGAAAGCCTTTTCTTGAAGGTTCAAACCAAGCTTTGATGAAACCCTGACATGACTGATTATGGTTTCACTTTTCATAGATGTATATTTGGCTTTGATATGGCTTCAACTTCCTTTCACAGTTCAGTCCTCACTTCCTTTTCTCAGCTGTTGGCTAAAAACATTAGGTTAGTTTTCATCTGAACTATTCTATCATTTAAAAAAAGAGTGGCCGTGTTATATTGAAATGATGCGCCACACAAAATGTAGAATCTGAGTATCAAAGTACCACCCTGTAGGTTTTCAACATGGTTGTTTAGCAGTTTAAGATGTGATACATTTCAAACTACAGCTCAGTGTATTCTAGACAGTTGTCTTTCCAAGCTGGCTGTGAGGAGGGGGGGGGATTGATACTGAAAACACATTTTTCATGGTTCTAGAAAAACTTTACAACAAAGCTAAAAGATCAAATGGATACAACAAGTAACCACACATGATACTAAGAAACAAGAGAAATATTCAGGTGAAGTGCTAATGGACACTATGTGGGCATCTAATCAACAAAACCATAACAAACCATATCATAGATGTTACAATAATCATTTCTTTTGAATTCTTTTTTCATGTTTAACTAATTTGAGTCTTGGAAAAACTTGAGTAGGAAATATGACTTTCTCATTAACCGTCCTGACTGGTTAAAGAATGGTGAGACTCTAATGTTTGATGGTGTAGAGAGAAGAGAAGAGGCTAAAACAGGCTTATTATGAGATTAAAATCAACTATCAAAAGATGGTGATATAAATGAAGCATTGAAAAAGATTCAAAAGTACATCTTACAAAAACAAGAGTATTAATGAATAACATGACTTTACATGAATGTCCTGATCTGGAAAGGGGGTGTGGGGGGGGGGACTCCGATCCACCAGTGAGCCGATGAGGGAGGACTGGACCGGCAGTGTACTCCAACTGAAAACACATTTTGTATGTTCAGAGCGGCTAAATAACCGGTTTGCATCAAAAACAAGGTGCCAAGTTGTCCTGTTGTTCTCCAGCTTCACTTCTTTTGAGCCAAATAATTCTCCCTTTTGCATTTTGTCAGCCATGAGGGCTCAATTCATGTTAAACACTGAAATGTTTAAGACATGACTGACAGCCAAGTATGACTCAGTTCCCTTGTGGTGATGACATCTGTTTTGTGTAGCACTGGGGCTCATGTAAACATCAATAAGACCTCTGTGTCTTTTCATCTTGGAGTGGACATGTCCGTCTATTCACATCAATCTGTGAGTACTTTTGCATCGAGGAGCAACTTTTGAGAAAAGTTTTTCACTTTCACGTTTTGTGCTGTGATACAAAACAATGGTGAGCAATGTCAGAATACTGTCTTCATTTTTCCTGCACATCCTCTTGGCAAAATGTTTCCGATGTAGGTCTCCTCCCAGAGTGACTCACATGTTCCTGCAGCTGTTTGTAGGAAGTCAGGTCTCACTCCAGCATACTGGAAACCGCTCACAGTGTGTTTGGAGTACACTGCCTGGCCTCCTGTGGCCTACTCAGCATTCCTGTTGTTACAATCCTTAGGCTCTCCAGATCTATAGTGGTCTGTTTACAGTACAGTCTGATATTCTTCTTTTGCGGAGTTCAGGTCTATTAATTCAGTCAAGAGGTTGGGGGTCAGCGATGGGCATCGTGTGCAGAACTTCATCCAGTAGCTGTAGAGCTCGATGTAAATGGATCTCGATCCAGCAGGGCGTCTCTTTGATGCTCTGGCGTGGGTAGTCGGGCCCCCAGCCCTTCACGAAACTCATCCGCAGGATGCACAGCCTGCGCAGGTCGTCAACCCCGATGCCCGCAGCGGCAGACAAGCCTGCAGGGGAAGTGGAGGCAGAAACTTTTAGATCAATGTGGAACCACAGGGCAAATCTTGCAGAGTTAATGACGGCCATGTTATTCTTCCTATAAAAGTTGGAAATATATACCGGACAGGCAAACAGAAAAGTAGGAAAAGTACTTCTGGCATTTGCATCTCAAACTCTGATGAGGACACGATGGGCAGAATGTGAGCAATCAGGTCCGACTATGTCCTTATCTGGGGACAGGCCTAATACACAACATATATATATACACACACACACACATACATGGCTTTATTCTCTAATTTATTTTAGTGTTTCTTAATCTGTTCATCCTATTTTACTCTTATACATACATACACACACATACACACACACACACACACACACACACACACACACACACACACACACACACACACACACACACACACACACACACACACACACACACACACACACACACACACACACACACACACACACACACACACACACACACACAGGTGTTTTAAAATCAATGTTCCGCTATCACAGCAGTGTGTGGTTGCTTATTGTTGATGTCGTATTGCAACAATTGTTTTAGTGGAGGATGACATCTGGCCAAAGAACAAACCTGAAGAGCGATGGCATAAGAAGCTTCAGTTTTAACTTGATCCTCATAACAAGTCTCAGTAAAATTGATGCATTAAGGGGAGGGATGTAAAAGCGGACTCTCTCTCTCGTCCACGGATGGCGATTATAGACAGATAAAACAAGAAAGAGCAGTACCTGGGCATCCGATTATCGTCTATGTGAGGGGAAACAATGCACTATATGTTGATAGGACAACCTTACTCAGTATTTTTGTGTTCTTGCACAGGCCACTTGACCAGAAGCATGTCTTAAGAAACCACCGGGGTTTCGCCTCATTACAATTAAGCTAAGCCATGCCGAGTGCCACAAGAAAAGCCTCTTTCAGACGACGTTTGCAAGCAGTCATAATGATACACTTGTAGAAGGTGCATTTCAGCAGGAAGAACACTCACTGATGGCCGGAGCGATGCCTCCCACAGAGCCGGGCCCGGGAATGTTACCAGCTACCGCGGCTGCCTGAGCTGCGGCCGCTGCCTGAGCTGTGGCTGCCTGCTGCTGCATCTGCCTGTGGCACTGACGCAGGTCGAACACCTGCCAGGGGACAAACCAGTGCTCAAATCTTATCACAAGAAATTAACATAAATTAACACTGAGGCATTTGACTATCTACAAATATTGTAGGGCTAAATGTTAACTTGACTAGGCATTACTGTCTCACAGTTCTGTCATTTTATTATACGTGATACAATTATTTTTATAAGAATGATGTTCAGTGAGTCTCTGGGAATATTAAAAACTGTATAAAAGAAGCGCTGCCTGGACTCAAAAAAAGTGGAGGTTTGAGGTGCTCTTTGGATAGGGATGCAAGCAGTCATAGGAAAACTCAAGACAAGCTCCAAGGCTGTTTGTCTTGTTTTTTCTAAGACTCTGAGAATAATATCTTTATCCTTCATGTGGTTTTACCCACGTGACCAACTCTACTCAACTAGAAGTCTTCATTTCATTATGAATTGGTTATTGGGGTGTGCATGGGTGAAACCACACAAAACACCAATAGAAATCTTCAAGTATCAGTAAAAACCCGCTTTCCGATGTATGATATCAGCAGTAATATCTGACCTTAATGTAAGCGCTGGGGTAGATCTTGTGAACTGCGTCTCCAGGGGCGCGGCCGGCCTCTCGATCCAGGTAATAGCTCTGCACGAACACGGCGTGATCGCTCAAACAGCGCACCCAGACGTCTCCTTCACCTTTGCACTCAAGCTGCACACCTTTGCCAATATGAAGCCTAACGGAAGGAGGAAGAGAGCGAAGTACAAAGTGACAGCAGGTTTGCGTGACTGAGTGTATCCCTTGATCAGTTTTTAAGTGCAGTGCATGAATGATGTGGCCAAGTACCTGGCTCTCTCAATGTTCTCTGTCCTGTGGACGTTGCTCAGCTGGCCCAAGCAGAAGCGATCCCCTCCTGATGGATCCACGTAACCATCCACAGTCACGATCGGACATGTGGAAGGCACCTTAAAAGTCTCGCCGACCTGTACGTCCATCTCAAAGTAAGCAATGGAACACCAGTACTCTGGAGCTGGAATAAAAAAAAAAAAGGATGACTTCATGTAAAAATGGACGGCACTGATTCTTTAAGATATGTGGACTGTCTTCCATCTGCAGCTCCATACTCACCCGGGTGATTAGAAATGGGGGGTTGGAACGCAATTTCATTGGTAACTGACCCTGCAAGAACATGTCGATATTTATTTTTGAACAAGCAACTCACAGCAGCTCTTAAGATGAGATATTTTAATCAGAAAAGAACAATGATCAGGCAGTGATGCCACTGCAGCTTTTACAAGATGAAAGGGTTTCAGATTGTTTTCAGAGAAGTCTATTTATTGCTTTGTTACCTTTTAGTGTGGGTTTTAAATCGAATTACATCTCCATCTATTTATTTCAGCTCAACCGTCTCGTCATGTCCTCGATATAATATAGTCATTGTTGTTTATAAGACCTCATCACTCTGGCTTTTAAACATGCATTAACAACACATCATGAAAAAGTGTGAGGGAGAAAACTCTTCTGATCTAAAATACCTATGCTGCCAACAGTAGTTCACATTTGTTCAAATAAATGTTTATATCTGGTAGATATCCTTAATATGAAAAATAAGTTCCATTAAATAAAAAAAGATACAGCTGTTGTCTTAATGACTCAACCCTTCAGTTACCGTGTCTGTAAATCAGTGGGAAAAATCATAATAATGTCGTCCAGGCACATTGATGAATGTTTCACTTAATAACTTATCGTCTGAGCTCATTACTGTCAGCACATTATTTCTATTTAATCATAAAAGGAATGATACAACATTTAGCTCCAGCCGAGTATTCTGATTGGACAAGAGGCAGTCCATGAATGCTGATATAGAGTACAACATCACTGGGACTTTTCACAATACGTATCACTCCGCCTAAGCCAGGTGTCCTGAATACTGCAAGTCAACATTACATGAGACAAGTCTGTCCTGATTGATGTAGCTGCTACCTCTGAATCACAAAACAGACTCTTGTTGAAGTTGCTGCACGATCGATTAAAATATATTAAGAAATGTGCATGAAACGAAGTAGCTGGTCCGTGGTAACCATGGATACAAACAAAGTAGCAAGACTGCAGATGAAGGTTTGGGTTTTTTTGGCAACACTTCAGTTATAGTTAAGATCAGGAACCAAAAAAATGGAATGTGTTGTTGTTGTTTTAAATGTTTGTGCTGGTCGATGAACTATTTTATAAGGGCAATATCACAACACCATCACTAACTCTGGTATGATCTTGCTTAAATTATATTGTTCGACTGCATAATCTGTCTGACAGCATATGTATAACTCAAACGGCTTGATGGGAGTTTTGATTTAAAGTTTTCATGTTTTCCATCCACTCAATTTATACTTTATTAATACCGGAAGGGGAAATTCGGGTTTACACTCTGTTTAATGAACAGGAACACACTTACAGTAATGCCCTGTGTGAGGCATGGGTGGATGATGCTGTAGATGTCCGTTCTGATGTTGAGGCACCGCTGGGGTGAAGCTGCTGTTTCTGCTCCAGTTTGGGGCAGGATCTGAAAAAAAAAAAAAAAAAATGTATTTAATATATTGAAGATGCCAAAATTGAGCCAAGCAAAGTCTGTGTGGTACATAATGATGTCCAAAATAGTTTGACTGAATTAAAAGTAATGTCAAAATTCTATTTCTAAATCCTTTTGCAGTTTTGAAACAACCTTCACCCTCTTCTACAAAGACACAAAAAATAGTTTTACAGAAATGTTTATTCCATTCACTAAATCTTGACTGGCACATTTTTTTTTGGGGGGGGGGGGCTTATTATGAGATCTCACTTGAGGGTCCAGCACTGATTGAAGAAAAAGCAGACGTTGAAGCTGAACTGCTGCCCTCCGCTGGGGGGAGAAGAGCCGGGTTGCTGAAGATCTCCTGTTGACCGGGCCTTGACGGGGGATGCTGTATAGTCTGCAGGTGGCTGTCAGAGCTCGAGTGAGACGGCTGGTTGTCATAGTCATACTCATCCTTTACCATGAGTGGACCTGCAGTAAATGAAGACAACAGATAAGACTGACGTATCTCTATAAAAATCTAATACAAGCAAACGTGGAAACTCTGGCACTAACTTACCTGAACCTGTAAGGGTCAATCCTGATAAATCTGCCAAAATATGAAAAAGCACAGATACGTCAATCAGTTTGTCTGTATTGAGAAAATAATCATCTTAATTTTCATAAAAAGAAAAACCAAACAGAATAACTTTGACAGGAGACTTACGGACAAGTGATCTTACTAACCAATGCCTGGAGAGACTACTCTCTCATAGTGGTATGGGTTGACGCAAACATTGTCACATTTCAGGTCAAAGGCATACTGGCAGTATTTCACATGTTTTAATTCGTTCTTGTGAAGATCAGGCCATCGCCACAGTCTGGCATAGACAACATGAGGAAAGCCTTTACGCCCCGCAACCTAACGGAACAGGGAGGGAAATCTAATGAGATCGGTAGACTTCACGTGGCATCTCTTAGAATTTTGTCTTATAATTACCAGGAATGCAACGCTAAACCAGCTTGGCAGTGCACATCCGCTACAATACCTGAAGGCGTCCATCCAAGGTCCGTTGTATGGTTACACACTTGCTTGGATGAGCTCCATTTGTAGTGATTGCCGTGATGAGGGAATCCAGCTCATCTTTCTTTTCCTTCAGCTTCTTGACAAGACTCTCAATTGCTCGCTTGGCAAAGCTTTCACTCTCTCCTCCCTGCCGGTGGCACATCAGGCTGTGCACGATGCTCAGACAGGCATCATTACTTGTGGGAGCATTCGTAATGGACATCTTGCTCCTTAGGTTTCAACCTTGGGGAGACTTTTCAAGGTGTTTTCCACTATACCTTTTGACAGCTCAAGTATCAAAAATGAAAGAGTAATGTGATGCTGACCACGGCTGGCAACCTTAAACAGAAAGAGCAGTGTCTTATCGTTGGGAGCAATTGCTTTGCATAACATTTATTGTGACTCAGTGAATAATATGCGTTTGAAACCTGACTTAATGTTGGGTGGAAAAAAAAATATGGATTATTATTTGCATACGCTTCCAAGCTAAATTATATATTTAATAGAGATTAAAAAAAAATATATATATATATATATATATATATATCAACAAACAAGTGAGAAAAGGGTTTCAGGGCAACTTAAAAACACACAAAATGGATTTTAAGAGTTTCCTGGATTTTTTTTAAAGAATAAACTAAGTGAAACGTGACAATACTGCAACAAATTAGCTTTATTATTAAATTACAAATCGACAGCAAATCTGCAACACAGCACAACTCCTCCATTTTCCTTTTTTTTTGTACATCATGTGTTTTAATATTTAATATTCTCTTATATATCTTCTAATTGCTTTATATATTTATTTTTTTGTATCTTATTCTATTGAAGTTGTCAGCTCTGCTTTTTTTTTTTTTTTTTTTACATTTTCTATGTTCATTGTTTTGCACCAAAACACAGAGACAAACTGTTTGTATGTGTAAATCAAAAGTGTAAATATTCAGGTGTAAATGTAGATTCTGACATTATGCCATTCTTTCCCACATGAAACACAAAACTAATCATTCGTGGAGCACATTTGATGGAGTTCTTCGAGCACATTAAGAGTCATATTAACAGATAATAACATCAGACTAACACTAACCCTGAGGTACCAGAGCAGGTTATCAAACACAGGTAGGTTAGCCTAACCTTTACTGACAGTGACTCACTTCTAAGTCTTTAAATCTGACCCGAACCACACTGCTTGGTTAAAACGACATTTGTTTTAAATGAACACACATGTTCAGTCACTGTGTTATTGTCGATGATTTAGTCAACAGATGCTGAACTAACATCGAGTTAGCGCTAGTTAGCCACTGCTAGTCCAGATCGACTTATTCTTCTGTCATTATCTGAACCAAACACACTGATTTGTAATCTTACCGTGATGTATCCGCACACAGCCAGGCCCAGTGTGTAAAAACAAAAAAAGCAACAAGTGAGGGGACTATTTCGATCTACATTTTGTCACTCTTATCTGGCGTTAACCAGCTTGCCTTAATGTGATGCTAACTAGCTGGCTAGTTTGCAGCTACAGAAACAGCTTCTGCTAAAAGATCATCAACACTTACCTTTAACTTGATTGTCTGTTACCTCATATATATTGTCAAAAAAAAAAAAAAACGCTGATGGGACACTCTTAAGGTACGCGACTATTCCTAGACTGTGACAACGATTAATATAAGCTGACAGCTACACGTTTCCAGGCTAGCTTGCCCCGAAAATAAACAATAAATTCTCTCCACCCAGCACATCACTGAGCCTGCACACATGAAGAGACAGGCGTGCTGCTGCTGCTGCTTGTTCAACAAACAAAACACGATAGAAACAACCTATGTACACCTGAAAAGTGAGGTTTTTTTTTTTTTTTTACAATATCGCCATGCCGAACCATGTGTGTTTATTTACATTAAGTGTCTTCTACAACATGTGCTGATATAAGGATGCACCACATCTTGTCCCTTCTCCCACTAATCCCAAGATTCATTACACAACCCATAGTTTTATTCAGTGTTCAACTGGCAAGTAATTTAAAAACGTGTAATATGACTTAAATCCAGTCAAACAATTGACCCATAAGGTCTGGATTAGTGGTTCAGGACCCCAGGAACACCCCATGTTGACCTATGGGTTAAAATGCTTACCACTAAAGCAAATTATCCATCCTAAATCATAGGATTTTAATTCTTATATTGTAACATCGGACTTAAATCTAGTATTGTGGGCTTTATTTCACTTGTGGGTTTCTTTCTTGGACTGAAACATAATATAAGGGCTAAATATTAAGGGCTGAAAGCTCCAGTTTGTATTTGTGTCTATGGTAGGCTTCTTAAAGATGTCAGGGTGCATGTATAATTTTTAGAGCATTATAGGAAGAAGGGAGTAAATAAGGCCATTTAGAGTTAATTTGAACAGAGTTAATCAAATGCATGTTCCATTTACTTGACCCGCAGGATGAAATACAATGAGGTGACTTTATTAAAAGTGTCCATAGGGAATCAAGACTGTGATAAACGGCTCGTATGGTTAATTTTAAAAAAGGCAGCTAACAAAGGCAAAGGTGTATTGTCATATTCATTTGTCCTGCCATTATCTGTTGATTAAACCGTGGTAGCCTATATTTACTTTAATTTACAGTGATAGTGTAATAACAGTGAATTGGATACAGATGATGATGAGAGAAGAGCTCAACCAAAACCTGTGAATCAAAACTTCTACTGATAGCTCCCTTGTCAGATTACTTTTTCGGGAACATTTTGAAGATCTTCCAGTGCTTTTGTCACAAAACATCAGTTTTTGGAAAGCAGCTATTTAACCTTTTTATTCTTTTGTGTTGTTAGGACTTTTACTCTAATATAAAGTCTCCCCCTTGTGGTCATAACAGTACATTTTGGTCGTTCCAGAAATCTATTTTAACCATAATGACTTGTGTGCAGTATTTCCCCAAACTAAAACATAAACAAATTAATCTGACATTAAAAAAAAAAAAAAAAAAAACATTGCATGTTGCTGGTAGAAATATTTCCTTCATTTGAAATGTTATTCTATAGTTTTAGTTAAATGCTTAAAAATCCATTTGTTCCCTGCCTGGTGATATATCTTCCCTGCACACTTGGCCCCGACATAGGACCTCAGTTCTGCTGTGCAGTTTCACAGTGTTACACCATTATTGTTATCTGCTTCCGACTGTTAACAGCAGAAGCTAGGTGATGATGTGACATGTTTTTTTTTCCATTTGTACTGTTGCTGTGGCCTTGATAAGAGCGTCAGCAGGCCCGTGTCAGAAAAAGGAAGTGGGAGGGTTCAGAGGGCAACCGAGCAACCTGATGGCAGGATTGTCAATAGAGCGTGTTGGCGTTGGACACCAGGAATCTGACACCACCTTCTCACAAATGCTGCCCACTTGGAGTGGCGTCTCATCCTGAGTGACGGTTTACAAGACTCCAGACTCTGTCACCTCGTTATCACTGTGGCATGGAAGCGGGCAGAGAGAGGCTCGCCAGGCATGTGACACTGGAGGGATTGAGGTTGTTAGTTTGGGAGCACTTTGATTACCTGACAGTAAGACAGGGTGTTCAAGAGACCAGACAATGTGCCCCATGCATAGCTTGTTTTTAAGGTATTTTATTTGAACAACCATTATAACATTAAGGGTTTCTGTGAGAACCAAACGCAGGATATAAGTGACTTGCGCATTAAGAAGATTTCACAGCACTTAACACCAATCTTAGGTTAGAGAAATCGTTCCTTTTTTTTCTGATTAGCAGCCCTTCAGAGCTCCAAGACACCATGAAAATCCTCTGCTAGTGAAAAGCCGTCAAAAATACGACTTTTGCAGGTTCGCCAAGCCAGTAAAAGGAACAATGTCACATTCAGTAAATCATTTCAGTAGCTCCAACATGCCGTAGGCCATTGAAACAAATTACCATTTACAAATCTGTAGCATGTTTGTCTAACTATAGAACACATTTGCAAAACTATGATTCAATTATAGCTGAATTTAAGAGACAGTTTATACTAAAAAATGTACGTTTTACTATCAGTAGTGCAAATAAGCATGATCTCTTGGCCTGTTATAGTATCTCTTGAAGTAACATTAAAGTTGGATAAGCTGGAGCTTTATAACTCCTGCCTCAGGTATAATGTCTGCTAGAACAAAATGTACATGTAAAAACATAGTTTTGGAAAGATATCTGATAAAAGCAGCAGTAAAACTTTCAGGTGTTGCAATGTCATGATCTGTGGAAAGTCAAGTCCATTTATTTCTATTCCAGCACCAACTCTGAAACAAATCAAAACACATGGTTGGTAATGGAATTGAACCTTTTCACTTTCCGTTAGTATGAAGAGGTCTCTTCATCTATTATAAATGTCTTTAGATATTGTTCAAACTTAGTTTATTTTCTCTGTTGTCTTTTCTTTTGTTTGTTGCTTAGTCTGGTGGAAGTTACATCACAATTGTATTTGGCCATTACTGTAAAGGCTAACATTTAACTAGTCTGTGAAGCTTATCCCAAAACATACAAAAACAATGGCACAATATTATAATATAGCATCCCTATTTATAGATATGTTCAGCCTTATCTTCAAAGCTTTAACTCTTTTCTAATACTATAATAACTAATTCACCTTTATACAAATTTACATCAGGTAGCACAGATTTATAGATGTGTGCATTGCTCATTTACAGCTAAGTCTATTTTCATGTATTTTTACACATAACAGTATTAGATAGATAGATAGAAATAAAGATGATTTCTTGAGCTTCAACAGTCTGTGTAATTCATTATACGGCTGCCAATCCCCACATTCAGAAAGATGAAATACTATCTAGTAAATATGTGGAATCTGATACAACGTCCTCCTTAACCTCCACCGTTGGTTGATCAGGAACTGAAAAGACTATTGATGGTGTTCATCTGAAATGACATTGGGCCATATTAGGTTACTAACAGCCAGGGACGGCATGGGCCCCCCTTGAAATCTGACTGGCCACCCCAAAATCCAAATATATGATTAGGCTGTTTGCCTAATCAGACGCAGGACTTAAGTACAAATCAACTATTCTGCTGGCTGTTTTCAACAGGCTAATGGTAGTACTTTCAGTTGTAAATAAGCACATTGCTCTTTCCACAAAAACTAGCGAAGAAAAACGTGTGCACACTGTCCATTAAATGTATTTTAGTTAGATCATACAAGAGTTTGCATGCAATTGAATACGTTTTTGAAAGTGCAATTTTGCACGCCTTTGTGTTTGAGTCCCTAAAGTATCAAGCAAAGAAGTTGTATATGTTGCCAAAACATGTCACCTACATATCATTAGTGGGGATAGAAAGGGTAAAATATGTAATTAACTTGGCGTGCGTATGCCCCCACACACCTCATGCCAACCCTGCATGAGTCGATGCCCCAGGTGTGCCATCCCAGTAGAAAACAAGTCTTGACACACACATTGTGTGCCTTTCCTATGATACTTTTTACCACTATGACAGTAATGTTAATTTAGAAGTGGTTGAAAGCTAACATTAGCTATTGTTTGGTGTTGCCAGAGTTGTTATTAAATCTATCATTTGACTTTACTATAGCCTGTCATCTGTCCATATTTCCATTACATTTCATGTCTTTGGAATTGCTCATCAATTGGGAAGTGGATAAATACAAATGAAAAAGTCTGATTATTTTTGGTTTACTTATTTACAAACACAGCATTACATCAACCCCTCCCTCCCTAAGTGTGATGTCAGAGGAAACTAGTTGCCGTGTAAATAAAGTGAAAAGCAACACCTTAAAGACTATCTACATCCACACTCTGCCACCACCATGCCCTCATACTTGTGGTTGTAAGTGATCACACCATTATCATGATAAAGGAGTGAGATTGGCTCCAGTTTAGTGGGTACACAACAGGCACGTGATGCTCTCTCAGGACTCTTAACACTTAGCAGTGTCTGCACTATGGCATGATTGGTGGGCGAGACCTCATCGGTCATGGGCGGATTGCACACTCCATTGCACTCATATGCCTCATAACTCAGAGGCTGGATGATCCACTTATCCCAGCCAATGTCTTTAAAATCCACAAAGAGCGGGGTCCTCTTGCATGGCTCGCTCTTAACATGGCGACGGATTCGAGAGGGCGTGTCATAGATAAGGTTGGACTGAAGTTGCATGAAAGGCTCTTTGTCCAGCTCGTCCTGGTTAGCAGGGCCGGTGTTGTGGTTCCCCCAGAAAGCTTGTTGGCTCCCGGACTCATTTTCGGGAAGGTCATTCTCATGTTTGATCATCTGATTTAACTCGTGTTTGTCATGATTGAGGTCTCTGGTTTGTTCATTGAGAATACAATCATCACTGCATTGTGTGGCCCTGCAGGGCTCCTTTCAATGTCAATCTCAGCCAAGCTCCTGCCTTCCTCTGCGACCTCTGACCCCAGACTTGTTATATGAACTTCCAGTCTGTGATTTGTCCACCCTGACTTCCTCCAGAGTGTTACAGCACGAGTCAGGTCAAACGACACCCAGCTGTTATCTCTGGCATGGATATGCTTTGTCACCAGTTCCTCCAAATCATCCATCTCCACCACCTCCACCTTATCCCTCCTTCTCCCTTCTTTCCCCACCTTTTTTGTCCAAATGACGTCCTCATGAATTTTGTAGATGGTCACCTTGCAGTCAATGCCCGCATATGGTCTTTGTGCCTTACTGATCAGGGTGAAAAGTCGAAGCTCAGCTAATGTTATGTGTTCATGGTGGCGCATTGTGATGTTGAACAGCAGGGGATGTATCCTGACACCCTTTGGTGTTATTTTATAGGGGGAGGGATCTGAAATCAGAATAAAGGATATATATGAAGTTTGTCAGATTTAAAAAAAAAAAAAAAATGGGGATTAAAATTTAGGTTAGTATATGTTGAAGATTACAGTTGACATTTGTTTCTTCAGCATAGTTATTATTAAAGATTTTTTTGGTTTATTGGAATAATGAAATATCAAATATTAGTTAAAGTAGCACTACATGGAGTCATCTAAACAATCCCAGATATACAGCATTTTGTTATTAAAAAAAAAAACCTGATCATTGAACCATTAGAATGTCAAATATAATCCTCATGATTTCAAAGATAATCCCTTTAAACTCAAAGTTAGACACAGCGTTTTACAAATGTTCTGCAATGCACAAATTAGATATACTTGTAATTTGTACCTTCATTCTTGAAACTGCGCACAACGCTGGCTGACGGCACAGCAGTGCGGTCGTGGGCAAAGCGGTTGTACAGCTCCAGCATGTAGTCTGGTGGCTCCTTATAGGCAGCACGGAGCTCGGACTGGGCCCTCAGCTCTGTCAAGTTTAATGTGGAAAGAAACTGGCTCAGAAAGTCTTGTGCATCAAGCAGCGGGTTATCACCCATGTCCCTTCCGACTGTTGCCCTGTTATGGTTCTTGAGGGACCTGATGGGACTGCTCAAGCTTAAACCCGCCAATGTCAGGAGCAGCAGGTTCAGAGAGCAGATAAACACGAGGTTGAAGAAGACTGAAACAGTCATGGCTGAGTAGAGAAAAGTATTGTATCCAAAGTGTTAGGATCAGATGAGAAGATGTGATGGATCCTTAGTTTACACCTTTCATGGAAGCACTGTCCTTTGCAAAGGACAACAGGTTGCTGTCGGGGGCTTTGCCCTTGTTGATCTTGTGGTCTGGTTGTGAGGGCAGAGCTGTGCTGTCCAATGTGCTGTGCTGACATGTTTGGCGATGTCACTAAGACCCTGCTCGGCCCTCCTCTCTCTCTCCCCTTAAGGACCTTATCACAGAACAGAATTTCCTTGTATATTCCATCTTATTTTGATATATTTTTTATTGATTAACCACTGAAGAAACTATGCTTGAAGTGACCTTAGGTTAACATGACAGATGAAAGAACGGCTTTATGCTGCACCATAATACTTACCAAGAATACTTACATATTTATATAAAAGCAGAGAAGAATTGTAATAGATTCACCTGAAATTAGGGACAAATTAAGGATGGAAATGATCTGGGGGGTACCGCTTTGGTGATTATTGCATGATGTAGATAATCAATTAACAATATTGTTAATTTATCCTTTACAATCTCCACAAGAGGCCAGTGTAGACTCAGTATTTGTTCCTCTGCCTCCCCATTTTAAATTGAATTAAACCTATTCATTTTGCGTTGAAAGGATGACTTGATCTCATTTGCAATTGCTTTTATCTAATGTCTGCTTTTGTTTTCTTATAGCAGCTGTATGAAAGATTAGATATGCAATCATTGGCATCACTTCAAAGTACACACATATTAATAAGAAATATTTATTTATTCTTTGGAAGACTTTACCATCAGCCCCTTTAAATCCATTGTATCATCTGTTGTGGAGTTACTTTTTATTACGGTTGCATGCCAAACAAACTGCACATTTATGAAACTTTTCTTTTTGCGTAAAGAATATATTTACACACAAATATATTCCTATCTGGGTGTTTTACTTGTGTCTTCTGAGAGTTGAGCCTCTTTTCCCTTGAACAATTCATTACTTTTTTAGTGTTTGATATTAAGTTTGGCAGAGATTGGACATCTTTGGAGCGCTGCTAGACGGTGGTCAGGAAACTACATATCATGTCTTTGCCAGACTTCTGTTACTGCTGACAAATGCTAACTGGCATTCAGCCTAACATGACCCAGCGTTGTAGTTGTGTTTGTATCTGTGATTAAGCCACTTTAAAGTTCAAGTCAGGTCCACAGGGGACGTTTATCATTTTGTACCCTGTGTAGTGTGGTGGAAATAAGTCCTGGTTGTAAACACATGACATAACACCAATGCTTAACATTTTGGTTTGAACAGGACATTGGGAAAATTTGTGAGAAATATCAAATAGTTTCTGCATTTAAGTATAACTCTGCTGGTCAATAACACGCCTGTTTTATTTTTTAAAAAGGCTTGACAATAAAGGGGTTATTAAAGTGGCCATGTAACAGTTACTTAATGATAGAAAGAAGAAGGGCATACAATTCAACCTGTAACACATAGAGAGAATATGAATAAAAATGAGAAATTATGCTCATCGTTTATTTTCAGTTTTCATTTAACATTGCGATGCAAAAAGGACCACTGCAAAGCAGAGTTGTATTTAATGTTGGATGACTTACAGGTATTAGCTAATACACATCCATAACCTTGAATTAATAACATATGTATTACAATAAATATTACAATATAAATACCTTCATTTAGATTATTAACAGTCCTTTGTTACACATTTACAATCCCATTTTGCCTGACATGAAACAAATGGAATAGAGAGGATGTGCCAATGAGCGCACCGTGTTTATGATGGTTTATTGGTCCAGAATAAACTGATTTCCAAATAGTCTTGACGTTTTTATTTAATCATTTCAGACCCTGACCAAAACTATTTTTAAAAATATTTCTTTTATCATCATATTCCTCAGGAATACATTGACAGATCCACATTGACCCTAATAACTTGACAAACTAGAAGTATTGTAAATTATCTCATTCCTGCCTAAGAGAAAATTTCAATTTTTTCATGTATAATATTTTAAGAGTCATAATTCACCACAACTTGCATATTTAGGCTATTTCAGATTTCATAACCCATCATTAGCTTCATATAGACTGTATATCATCCTAGATGACCTATTCCATAAAATGTATTTCCAAATAACCTCTGTAATAAATACATGAAAATGTTTGGCACATAATCTCCTGCAAACAGAGGAAACTGTAATAATTGGTGAATTTTCTCTGTCTGTACAAGAATGATCAAATGGCACAAATCTGTGTTTCACCAATGGAAAGAGTCTTTACAGGATTAAACAAGCTTGACTGGCCGTGTTGTCATGTTTACACCCAGGAGTCCAGCGGTGGAGGTTTGTTATCCATGAGTCCCACTGCAGGCCTGCCAGCTCTGATGAAGTGTTTTCTCTCATTTATTGCCTATGTCAGGAAACATGCAAACAGCCCGTGTTAATGAATTTACAAAATACACTGCTACACAAACAGATCCCAAGAAAGTAAACAAACCATGTAAAACTGTCATTTGTTTTGTTCCAAAACCAAAGTTGGATAATGAAAGTGAGAAGTAAATTAAGGGATATGGGAATAAAAGTCGATGTAGTGTTGTGACATTTTCTTTAGATGCATAATTACAATTAAAAGGCTTTACCTGGAGGGCGTCTCTTTCCACAATAGGTGCTTTTCCATCCCCAACTCTATCATTGGTCTCTAAGCTGGAATATACATCTACAAGAGAAAATAATAATCACTTTAGCAGTAAATGTGTAAGAGTGGATTTAAACAAGTTAGCTGGGAAACATATATAAACTAGATAATCTTAATTAGTTGCCTGCTTCTGATATTAAGGGTACAGTCATTTCAGAACAAAACTACAAAGGCCTATACTGATAATTCACTCAAGTAAAACATCTCTACCGTAAAACAGATGACTAATTAGAACCTTATCAAAGCTAAATATCAGCTAATAATGTTTGCTAGCCAAATAGTTAGCCCTTTTACCAGCTAACTAACCACTTACTGAGATGTTGAATTCTCTAAATAATGTCTGTTTAAAAGAAGCTTAATTGCCAACCAAGCAGTGTACTATGCCCCTATTACCATTTACTGCTCAATAATTACTTTCAGTTCTCATTAAAGTTTTTTTGTCCAGGAAAGCAACTCAGCCAAGATTAGTGCTAGCTATCAGCAAATATGCTTTTGGGCAGGCTAAGCTTGATGATATCTTTGTGTGTTTTCCCACATTTTACAGTTGTTAGACCTACATATGTAACTCAAAGCTATAAAAATAGGTTTATTAAGCTAAATCTTCTAACTGTCATACCAATATTATCTTAGAAACAAAAACGTAATAGGAAACCAAGACCTGATAAAAGCTACATATTTTTGGATAACCAGGGGGATTCTGCTTTTCTAATATATTATAGCCATCGCTTTAAAAATAGGACTTAACATAAAATTACAAATAGGTTTATTCATGTACCGCTGTCTACACTTAGAGAAGCTTGAACAAAGGACTGTTATTACTTTAATTGCACTCTTAAAATGTTCTTTTTAGGAGTGCAATTAAATAACCTTAAATACTTGTTTTATTAGAACTTTTTAGAGTTTATACTTCAGACATGGCCTGATGCACCTTTTACCCTTTTTAAGTCGATCAAGTTTACAAAAGCTTTCAAATGTTCATTGAAAGTGTTTACCTATCCAAATAAATACACATTTCAGAGGGTGTTGAAGCTCTGTTCATAATTCATAAGGAAGCCTTCAGAGAAGCTTGTTTAAGTCGGAAGCTAGAGGTCGCTGTTGATGTGAAAAAGTCAGTGCCCTTTGGAATAACATTTAAATGAAATGTGACTAGTGATGCGTGAGCCTGCCCTGCCTCTGGGAAAACACAGTATGGGCTAATAAGCCAAGTCTGTACACTGATAACCTTGGCAGCATTGGTTTGAGGCTATGTTCAGAAGAATATGGTCTGGGATTTAAAAATGCTCATCTCTGTGTCCCTGACATGACAAGAAGCCCAGTCTGTTCAAAAGCAGTGTTTGTTTTCTGAGCTAGAGGACACACTCCTCATTTAGACAAAGGTTTAATAACATGTTGCTGACAGGAGGAATGTGTGCAATAATTTGCTGACCTTGATTTTTGTCCATAAGCGGCAAGGTGATGTCATCGCTGCCTTGCTTTCCGCTCTTGGATTTTTTAGTCACTCCGGTAGTTGTTGGCTTTGAAAGACAAAAACGATTATGGTAGTGGGTGACAACCAGAATTTCAAGCTTTCCTGTTTCTCATTTTGTTAGGGAACATCATATTGTTTTTTGTTTAAAATGACTTGTACTGAATCTTGGACAGTAGCAAATCTTTTTTTTTTTACTCTTGTTTTGGAGGGAACTGAAAATGATAAGCTCAAACCCTTTTACACCTCACACATGCTCAGTTGTTTCGGAATAATATACAGTACACACACATTTCTTGGTTCAAATCAAACCTAAATTTCATTTTTCCTGCAAGGGCAAAAAGGCAGATTCAAAATACATGAATTCCATTTCTCTTCTCTTATTACTCAAACCAGAGTTTGAGTAATACTCATGTCTCATTACAGCTAGAAGAGTAAAGATACATTTCTCTAAAACGTTTTGTAATTGACTACCTTGAAGTGGCTCTTTGTCCAGCCTGCCTTGTTCAGAGCGTTCCTCAGGTCTTTGTAAGCCCAGATTGTTTGGAGGACATGGGAAGCTGCTTTGGTCTCTCGAACTGATTGGCTGACAACAAATAATTAGACATTGTGGTAAACAACAGAGGACGGCTCTGAGACAATTTTGTCCTAATGATTTAAGTCAATTTTTGATAGCCCTGGGATATGACGTTCATAATATCAAGAGCTATTGCTTTAAGGCTGTGTCACAGATACAAACAAGTAATACACATTGCATCTACCAAAACTACTACTACTTTGAAAATTTCCAAAAACCTGGGAATCAAAAAAGAGTAGTTTATTTGACCTTTTCCTATTCTCTTTTGAAAATTACAATATCTGAGACTTTTACTTTTTATTCCATATTTACAGCCTGACAAGCTGTGGTCTGCTATTATTTGATAAACTTTGCTTTTTATTTATTTATTGAAATGTAAGGTTACATTTAGTTGATGAAAGACATAAAGAACCTTGACTTGTTGATGGCCACCAGTTTCTGTACAGCATGACCCTGTATGAGCGCCCGGGCGTTTTCTGGGCTATCTGTAATGATCTCATGGATGGTGTTCAGAATTGACACCACTGTATCTCCATCGAGATTCTTTGCCGGATGCTGCTGCCCACATGGTAGATTTCCAACAAGGTCCCTCAGAGCATAGCTTCCTGTGACAAAAGAGAGACAACTTAACAATGTTAGTTTGCAGGCATAGAGCCATGTAGATGAGTGTAACAATTTGGCACCTATTAGGTCTTTATTCCGTCTGTCCATGGCCAGGTTGCGAAGAGCAATAGCCACAGCTCGAACAACTTTGTCTACATCTGAGCGCAGCAGCTCCACCAGGATAGGCAGCCCTTTCTCTTTTCTCACTGTTGCCCGGATGAAGCTGGACCACTACAACAACAAACACAAAATGTTTAATTGTATAATAAGGGAGGATGGCGGACGGGTGTTGGCTGTAGTATTTTTCCAAAAAGGACCATGGGTAAGAATCAAATACTGCTTTCTAAAAATACACTTGATACTATGATGCAACAGGATTTAAAAAAAAGTATTTTAAAACTGTTTCTTCTGAGCTCAGTCTTGTCTTCACATTGATCTTAAATTAAACTGACATTCATGGCCCAGTGTATGAACAGGCCAATGGCAATGCAGGCTGGTGACAAAGTCAGTATAGACAGTCCAGTTGGATTTAAACGATCGATGCCAAACCTTTTTTTTATCCATACACTCTTTACATGATGCAGCCGCCGCTAAATAACCCAACCAGCTAGGAAAACAGCTTTAGACCCCAATATAAAGGTGAGGATGTTTGTTTAGTCTTTTTCTAGAATAATCTTGAACAATTCAGCCCGATTAGAGGGTAAACCTGACCCCAAGTTTAACTCATGGGCTTTTATGCAAGTCAAAGTAAGATTTAAAAGCTCTACTTTAGGCCCTTTAGAATTTGGCTTGAAATAGTAAAATACTAAAATTCATAACTTCAAGTGGAATTCAAGTATTCACAAAATGTAAACAATAATAAAGAGATTCAATTTGAATACTTGAAAATCATTTTAATTTCTGCTTGGACAATTTCTAAAGACATGTTGGCGTAGCAGTTCATGTTTTGATTGACATTGACCTCTGTTGCACGCATCAGTGGTGCAATAGACAATCAACTTTATCCAGTTTGAATCTGTTTGAGGTGTCTCATTTAGAATAAGAGGAGGAAGCAGTAGCCCTGCCAGCGGAGAATTGTCCACTTCAGCTTGTCAACAACTGGTGAGTCAAGAAATGATTTGCCACCTGATAAACTTGTAAAATGAATAGTTACCATACACATTTAATGTTAGATTGGATGTCCTTGTTTGTTCTTAAAACATTATTTACCATGCTTAATGATGCCTATGTACCATTAGCTTGCGCCACTTTGACAGACCTTTACCTCATCCAAGGGTAGTCAGGAACTGCCTACGAAAAAAGATCATGAAAGCCCGCACTAAACTCCCTGAGAGGAAAAATTGACAACCACATCCAAAACTCAAAATTCCCAACAGTCAGTAATCACCAAAAAAAAGACACTCAAGCTGGGTGTTAACATTAACTATTTAAAGGAAGAATATGCAACTTTTTGATCCTGTAGATGTTGGCCTTTGAGCACCAGCATCAAACCAAAACAAACTCCTGTTTGGCGACACCTCCGCTATTCTGAAGCCTCCGCTCTCTTCGAGCGGCACACCTCCAACCCCTCTCCGCTCGCGTTTGCACAAAGGAGTTATGAATTAGAACGCACCATTAGGCGTAAGCGGCAGACAAAATTGTCCTTTGCTCGAACTGCAATTGCCTGTGGTCTGCATTGATGTGTTAGCAGGCTAACGTTAGCACACTTTGGTTAACTATTAGCTTCACATTGCACATATACTGACACGGAATGACAGTGATATAATACACTTGCGTGACATCCAAATAAGCAGTGAGAAGGCTATGGTATTCCTCTTTTCTCTAGTCCTTGACTAAAACAGCTTTGTACGCAATGCCATCCCGTCCATGTTAACACGGCTCCAACAACAGTACAGCTGGCGGGACTCGCACTTCCTCATTGCAGACAGTCATGACTCAGAGATACATATAGGATATACTTGATTTCTGCTGTATTTATGTATGTGTGTAAAATGTTGCACGTTATTCTTTTAAATTCTCTTTTTAACCGGTTCAAAGTAAAGTATCTATTGCAAAATTATTTATTGAATATCCATTAAATATCCGCCACATTAAAGATTTTATCAGAAACGTAAATTACATTTTTTCCAGTTTGCATTTTAACAAATTTCCAGCTCTTTTTTTTTTTTTTACTATTTGTATTGTTTGAGGCTTTTTGATGATTTCTGACTGCTCCCCTGGACTTTCAAAAATGACTGCAGAGAAATTGTAATGATGTCATTTGTACGGGCAAATATTGGATACTGTGACAGACATGGTTCATTGTCTAAGCATCTAAGGAAACAATCAGCTGTACACAATGAATGTGCCAATTAAGTGTTACACGGTAACAATAGCTATAGATGCTTCACGTTTTGATGCTGATACAGACATTTTTTGTGTGGGATAAAATATTAAATCAACAATTTCAGCCCCCAGGAAAATGAAAGGGTATGGAAAAAATTAAAGAGTACTCACAGCCCATTGTCCCGCGGCGAGGTTCTGCAGGGCTCCTGCAGCTGCTTCAAGGGTGTTATGGTTGTGACTGCAGGTAAGAAGAGATAGGTAGAGCCTCACAACCTCTGGCTGATATAGTAGCTCCAACCCTTCAATAGAAATAGAGAGAAATTCAGGAATGACATTAAAACACTGATAAAAGTCTGAAGAGGTATTGGTTTTTCTTGCATAACTGCAAATATGCTAACATTGTCCAATAATGTATTGTGTTTAGATTAGTGTAGCCCAATAGGTAGGGTAATGAAAAATATGCACTCTAACAAGTATGCCCTAGAAAATGATAACACTCTCAGACTCCTGCAGAGGTTTTATGTACTGAGCTAGTTGGGGCTGCTGGATGATTGTGAGTAGTAGAAAGATGACCCTGGACCGTAACATGCCTGTCACTCTGATTTGCATTTACCGGCTGGAGTGTGGGAGGCACACGTTTTGATCTGGTCTACAATTCAACAGCAGCAACAGCCAAATTCACATTACTCAGCTCTATAGTACTCATGTGATTTTTTTTAAAAGTTTCTATTAAAAGAGTGCTTACATTGCTAAGAAAAAGCCATAAGGCTACACAAAAAGCAAAGCTGTACCAAATAAAGATATATTAAGATACAGGGCTGCCGCCGTCTTCAGCAATTTCCAGTTCCTTTCCAGAGGGTTAGGGTTCCTAGAGTTAAGTGTTCCTCCTCTAGATTTTGCCAGATAAAAATGTTATCAGAATTTCTGTTGGTGGATCATTTTGTTTTAGTAATGAAACTCTCCTCAAGTGGTTCAGGTGCTGATGTGTGGCTTTGAATTTCAATGATTTCTCTTCCAGGCCATGCCAACGTCATGCATACAAAGCAAATACAAGAAAGCAAGTACTCTGCTTGTACTGTAATGATGATAAATGATGGATGCTCTTCATAGTTTATCTATTGTAATTGGATTTAAGTGTAGCCTACTGGTGTCCAAATGTCAAAGTCATACAGCATTTAACTCTTAAATGCATTTTTTATGTGAAGTGTATATTACTTTTGTACATTTATACCTTTATTTTGTTCAGTACGTTTGGGTAAATCCAATGTACCGTATTTTCTGTCCATAAATCCATTTTTCCAACCTGTACATCACAGACACATACATGCACACAAATACAAACACCAGTTTTCATTATCAGTACACAAGCAGAAAATGACACAAAATATTATTATTAAAAAATATCACAGTATTCAATCTAGTATTCAATCACATTAATACTGCCATGAATTATAAACAACAGCAGTAGACTGACCTTGATTGAACCACTCCTCTGATGAGTAAAGGGAAACAGAAGAAATACAGAAATACATAGTTCAAGATTAGATTAGCAAATATATCATTGGCTTCTGCACGAGTAGGATTATGGGATAACCAGGCAAATGCCGCAAATGCCACAAAAGGGGCCAAGAAATGAGAAACTTTAGCTTGAAGCCAGTACACTCACTGAAACTACATAAAATGTACAGAAGGACAGACAGACTGTTAAGATGTTTATATAAAGAAAAAAAAGCTCTTGTTGAAATAAGAGCAGCCGTTAAACAAATATAAAAAAAATATTGCTATCTATATTGATTACTGTGATGTCATCACTTACTGCCCAAATGCCAACCAACCTTTGGGTCTTTTCCCTATTAAACAGTCAGGCTCATTCTTCTTCTTCTGGTTTCCCACTGACCTCATCAGAGGATGGGAATGAGGTTCCTGAAACCGTTCCGTTCCTGGTATTTCTTTGTGAACATGGTAGGAGAGGTTCCGCAGGATGCAAACACAGTTCTCTACAGACTAATTGGAGGACAATGACATGCATTTCAATCATGGGTGTTCAGACTGTTGGATTTTAAATTCTTCTGCACTCATTGTAAAAAGGTGATAATCTCCCTATTAAAAATGTAAGTAGCATGGAAATACCATTGATTTTGGTAAAACATACCTGGACCCTAAAGATTTAATCTAAAGCCTGAATAGATTGCAGATGTGTACAAGCTGCAAAATCTGGCGTACAAGACACTATTGCCAGTGGATTTACTTTATGATATTGAATACCTATGGAGGCTAATTAACTATTTGTATGTGCCCTTAATAAAAATAAACTAATGGTTTACATTATGGAATTTAATCACCAAAATTACCAATAGTCTAAGAGACACATTTGTGCTTATGTAACCTAATATACTGTACATGGTACCAGGATTCATATACACTTTCAACCTTCTCTTGTTTCTCACAAACATAAACTTTAGCTAAGAATTTGAAAGATTTAATACAATTTCCACTGTAAGTCACTTAAATAGAGAATAAATTGTTGCCTGATAGATTCAGAGACCTTATTGTCAGTGTCCTTGTTGACAACAGCTGACTGAAGGGCATGAAGAAGTGCGTCCACTAGCCCCTCACACTCCCTCAACCTTTGCCGAGCCTCTGCCCCGTCTGAACTGACATTCCTACAGATACAACACTGTTAGCAAAGCTGCCAAAACTTTGGCCATTACAAGTTGGATGTCATTTGTTGATAGACAGCCTCCAAGTTTACCTCAGACATCCAGAGGTGTTTTTGAAGACTGTGGTCCACTCAGCACTCAGCAGTTTGGAGGGGTCTGCAGAGTCTCTCCTCCAGCCCGAGTGCGGGATGATGATCTCATCAGTCAGTGTTTGAAGCCCGTTGTTGATGACCATCAGCTTCAGAGGCTCATGTGAAGAGAGGTTCCACAGTGTACCTGCAGGGAAAATAATACAAAAGCTGTACATTTACAAATGAAAATGAAGAGTTGCGGATTATGGTTGCAGGTAGAGTCAGGAGTCGCTCTGTACCTGTGACTAACTCTTTGACCTCCATGCTGCTAGACTTCCTCAGAAGCCTGACTAAAGCCTGGATGCCATCACAGTTCTTGATAGCCATTTTATTGTTGTGATCTTTTCCATAGGATATGTTGCGTAGAGCTCCACAGGCCTTGCGGTGGACCTCAGCTTTAGGGTGGTCCAGTAATTCCACCAAGATTGGCACCCCATTCAGCTGGCGCACCTCTTGCTTGATGCGGTCATTCTCATAGCACAGGTGTTGTAAATAGGCTGCAGCATTGGACTTTACTGGGTCCATTGGGTGAGTGAGCATCGAGATCACCTCATGCAGGTTGGGGTCTCTCCAGCGTGGGTCTCTTCGAATGCTGTCCAAGCTGACCATGCTGCTTCGTTTGTGGGGAAACTGCAGAGTCTGAGCGCGGCACATGGCCTGGAAGAAAGGATTGAGGTTCCCCTCCAGCTGGGCCATGAATGCGTCATCATAGCCACCTCTGAAGGAGCAAAGAAAGTCATTGTCCAATGTTAATCAACATTTTGGGTAATACACTAGTTGCTGGGTTAGGGAGGAATATTTATATCTACCTCTACACTAAGGTACAGCAAGCTAATTAGCTTAGCTTAATGGGGAAAAATTAGAAACAACATTGTATTACCTTTATCTAAAGGTAAAAGAAAAACACTTCCAAGTACCTCTTAAGAGCATTTACTTATTGTTGATATTCTGTCTGTTTACAAACATGTGGAAAAGTATAAGAACAGAAAGTTGTGGTTTTACCTTGGACTATAAATCCTGCTAATACTATAAAGTCCTGCAAATTAGTCTTTATTTATGTTGCAGAAACATGAATCTCATTGGCGGCCTTCTTCCTCTAATATCTTCCAAAGGTTCTTGGTAGATTTTTGTAGAATTTTGGATTTCCCCTAGAAAAAAATATTTCTAAGACCAACTCGATCTACATGGAAAAAGCAAGGGCTGACAATTATCCACACAAGATAAGACATTCTATCCACTTGAAGGACTACTTATACCCCAACAAAACTATATGGACAACCAAGTGATGCAAAACATAGGGCTCCTGTGTTAAACTAAACATCTGAGGTTTTGTGCCCAGTTAAAGGACAAATGTGTTCGGGCAGTGACATCCTGAACTCTCATTGAAACAATTAAAGACTTCATGCAGGTTTTACATTTGAAGGGAACCAAGCCAGTTGTTTCTCCCTACTTCCAGTCTTAAATCATAGCGAAACAGCTGTATTTACCATCTAACCACACTGTTTCTCTTAACGTCCAGTCTTTACACTAAGCTTACATCTTACAGCTGTTCCATATATTTCCAGTCTTAAAGTTAATCTATCTATTTGCTAGCCATTTCTCGACAGGTAATGCTAAGCTCATATCTCCGAGCTGTTTCCCTATATTCAGAAACTTAACGCTGACTATCTTCAAGCTGTTTCATTGTACTTCCTGTCTTAAAGCTAAACCAACCATGTTTCATCTTTTTCTCTGTACTTCCAAGTCATAATCCTAAACTAACTGTCTCATTGATGGTTCCCCATCTTAATGCTAAGAATAACCATCTCCTAGCTAACAGAAAAGAGAGTGGTAACGATCTTCTCAGCTATAAGCAAGTAATTTAGTAGCTAATGGTACTTCAAAAGTGGTAAACGATTCCTTTTGTATTCCACAGATTGAATGAAACAGGTTAAGGTGCCTTTGTGATTCCAAAAGACTTGGCTTCACAGAGTTTAACAGCATAAGTGAGTAGCTTGTAGCTTTTCTAAACAGCTCTGTCACTTTATATGGGCAAAGGAAAAGCTTCTGGCAGACAATAACAGGTGAAACCTCCTTATTTATTGACTTTGCAGCAGGCTGCCGTTCCTGATTGATACCAGCTGCTACTTAACTGCTGTCCATCTGTCTTTCTCTTGTCCAGGCTGGCTCACAGGAATGAGATAGAGGCAACTTCTAGGTAGCTGTGTGGCTACCACTCTAATAAATTATTATTGCTGCATGTCCTCTATGATAAGATTAGCTTTACATTTATACAGTTTGGAGGATTTTTAGTGGCTGCAGCACTGAAGACCCTCTCACGTCCTATGAATCTCAGTTAGATTTTTAAGAACCAATCACATAAACAATGAACTTTAGATGTTTGTTTTGGCATTTTTAATCAGACCTTTCAAAAGCATCTCATGTGACTACATTTAAAACTTTATTTCGTAAACAATTGGAATTAAATATATGAATCCAGTCTTACTGTTTGTCTAAAATCAGGAGCCTGATTAGCTTGGAGTTAAGACTTTCCATCAGATTAATCTTATGAACATGTTTTGCAACATCATAGGGTCCTGTCCTCTTATCATAAAACCAAACGGTACTTGTATTTTTCCTTGCTATGATGTTAATGGTTCATTGGATTTCTTGTGTCTAACCTTTGCTAAAGATGAGCTCATTATCAAGGACCACATTGATATTTCAGTGACAAAGACTGAGTGTCCTTACCTTACATGTCTACTTTTGCGCCAAAATAAAAGTTTAATGGGATAAAATGGATTGATTTAATATAAACAGACTCTATCTCAAACAGGCTACAGAGGACATGGTTAGCTTAGCCGACGGTACCTTGAGAACGGGCCTCAAAGCACATCAATTTTACCTGTTTATTTTGCCATTGCCCTTTGAAAGTCTAGTGGCTGATCTGTATTTGACCCTACATCTGGGTTTCATATAAAATCTGCAAGAGCCCTTGAAACCTATCTCTCCTGGGGGATCAATAAAGTTTGATCTAAGGTAGTCTTCTCTTACCTGGTTCTTGAGGGCTCCCTGAGGAGCTCCATTGTTGTAATCGGCCTGAACTGGTGGATTCCCCCCAGTGTTGGGTAACTGGCAGCGGGATGGTCAGCCTTCATTTCCAGTGGGTTTTCTCCCCGATCCCCAATAACATCCTCCTCTGATTGGCTGCTGAGCCCTGCCGGAGCGTAGCTGTCCCGGAGGAAGGGTAAGGTGTAGTGAGCCCCAGGCTGGTACGTCTTTGCAGGCCAGTAGCCGTGGAGGGTGTTGCGGGAGAGGCTTCCATATCCAGCACATAAGTCACCACTGATCCCTCTGTAGCTGTCGGGCAGGGTGTACACTCTACTCAACCTGTCTGTGTTCACTGGCTGAGGATCCCCAGGCTGCTGTATCACCTCAGGGTGCAGGGTTGTAGTGACGCTGGTTGTTGTTGTTGGTGTAACAGACTCAGAGGGTTCAGTTTTTGCTTCAGGGACAGGTTGCTCAGTGGGGATACTTTCCTGAACCTCTGGAGTCAATATGAGCTCAGGTGTGTCTGATGTCTGTATGTTCTCCTGCTGTGTCTCTGGGGATTCTTGGGTCTCACTGGGAGCCTCTTGTTCGACACCCTCTTGTTCCACTGCTTTGGACTCCTACAAAGATTGATGCACCACAACTATTATCTTTACAAAAGCCTAATTAGAATTTGTGTTCAAAATCCCATTTGTCTGAAAGGTCTCAGGTTTCCTTTGTCCGATTAAATGCCACCAAATTGGTGTGTTTTGAGTCAGAGCAGGAACAATTTGGTCTTAATTTACTTGGAATAGACCAAAGCGCCACTGTTCCCCACAGTGTGTGTTTGTCTGTCATCGAAAGTCTACAGAAAACCCCTGCTAATTTCTTATAGTGATGATCAATCATCGTCAATTCTGCTCCTTTCTATTTTTCTGAGCCAAAAAATAAATAATGTATTCTCCTTTCCTGCCAAAAAATAATGAATTCCCCTTGTTCAAAATGAGTTTAGATTGGACTCTGATGAAACAACTTGAGGTCCAGCACTGTTTCGAAGCAGAGTAAATTTAATTATCTGGCTTGGTAAATTGATTTTGATTCTAACTCTTCAGATTGTGAGAAGAAACTGTGATTTTATGCACATAAACGTGTATGAATAAGTTCAAGTCTAGACAAGTAGCAACTGAGTAAAATAAGACCCAATTGCATTAAAACATTGGATGGTGCTGTTGCTCCAGAAGTCAGTTCTTCTTTCTGTCTGTTAGTGTAAGTGAAACTCAATGTTATGACCACAGTGGACGACAAAACTGTAGACAGTTTTACAGTTTCTGTGATTGATAGACACATATAAAGTCGTTCAGATGAGAGGTGTATTTTGTTTTATATATAGTTGAAATTTTGGTTATGGAATAAAGAACTAAGATCAATACTTTGTTTTTAACAGAGGTAAGTTTATAAAAGACTTTTAAAGTTTGTCCCAAACCTCAGTGTCTGTCTGCTGCGGGGTGTCCGTCTCTGTGGAGCTCTCATTGATGGAGGTCATCACTGAGGCGATTGAGGTGGGCGTGTCCAGCTCTTCGTTGGTGGATGGGTTTTCCAGAGTTGCTTCCTTAGCCTCCTGGGACAAAGATAGAGGAGGAGGACCCTCTGAGCTCTGCTCCTAGACCACAGAAACAGAAATAAGTTAGTGGCTGTCACTGAAAACCATTATTCCAGCATCAGCTGTTGTTATAAAGAGCATAATGTTATTATTTATTATACAGCAGCCCAACATGAAAGTAAGCTGTTTTCACTTTCTACATCATGTTAAAAATATACAATTTAAAATATAACATGTAAAAAAGTATTACAGCATCATGTGATGAAGGCCGTCTTCACATAATAAGAGCTGCTGAAAAGGGAGCAGAGACATTGGTTTCCACTCTGTTGACGTATTATTTGTATAATTTGAAGCATGAACTGTGAAATTCGGACTGAAAATTACAATAATCTTGATTATATAAGTGAAAAATTAGAGCCATTTTCTCTGATTTTAATCTTTTTGGTAAGCTTTAATCTAATTGGGCATTCGGTGTATTGGAAAACAATACTGAAGCCACCACAAAGTACTTCTGCTAGACAGCAAGAAGAAATACAAATACCTCAATGCAGTTTACCTCTTATTAAAAAATAAGTGTTTTAGGGTTTCTCAAGTGTTATACATCCTTGTGTGCAGACTATATAGCATTATAATTTGTTGTGGTATATATCACAACAAATTATTCTTGGTACACCAGATTTAATGGATGCATGAACACATGCATGGTTTGTTAATGTGCACTGGAGTGGTTTCTCATTTATTTTTACCCACATCAGGCAATTGCTGCACTTTCAGGCTCAATTCGTGTCCACGATTTACTTCATGTCTCTTTTAGATGGATATCGTTGATTTCCAACTTTCCTCACCCTTGTTAAACTTTTCGGGAGGCTTCAGGGAACAGATTATAGTTTTTGATACTAGAAAACTGACAGACAGGGTGTCATTTCAGCTCCGTTGAAGTACAGCAAGTACAGAGATCACGCTGGTCCCTGGATTGACTCCTGGTCCTTTTTGGTGCATGTCATCCAGCACAATTTCTCCCCACATCCCCTATCATTTGAGCTGTCCTAAATAATGCAAAAGCCCACAAAAAATATATATTTTAAAGAAAAACTGACGGACATCATTAAATCTTGTTGAAAGCTTTAAATAGACCATACTGCAGAAAGGGAAATAAATCAAAACTAAACACCACAAGTGAAGTGTAGTAAATCATCTGTATTCTTAATTATATTCATCGAATGACCATTGGATATATAAGTGGTTATATCTGCTGCTGTTTTTGTGTTGTGTAAGTCCTGTATAAAAAGGGCCTCCTGACAAGACAAGGTACAGTGGATGTGACTGGATATGAGCTGTCACTCATTGACATTAAAGTTATTTGTTGAGATGTTGTGATTTACCACCACAAATTCTGTAATCCATACACCAGCTGTTTCTCCAAACAACATGTGGATGTTTCTCTAATTTCTCCACGTTTTGTTTTTCAAGTGGAACTTAAATTATGTTTTTTTTCCCTCATACAAAATGTGTTTCATTAACCAGAGGGGATTAATTATTCAGCGTCTTGATCTGAGAAAGAACTGGAGGCAGAATTGAACTGTAAACACATTTTGTGCTCATTTTCCTAACAAAATTCTGTCTCCAACAATCTGCTTTGCTGCTCCAGTAATCTCAATCAATATTCACTTATCTGAAACGTTTTCTATCTTGGTGATGGCTGCATTTAAATATGTGGTAAAAAATATAGGACACAGAATAATGCAAAGACTCATCCAAACATTAGAAAACATAATTAAAAGGTTTTGTGGTGAAAAAAATCAATTTCACTGCATCATTTATGACCAATTTTACTACTTCAATTTTCTATGCAGTCTCTGAATCAATTTTCATTTAAAGATAAACGACACAAATGCATATTACATGGTTTGTATCACTCAATAGCACAGACACAATATGCACTGAGATAAAACAGAGAGTAAGCTTTTAAATCCCCCCAAACTCCCTTTCTGAGGCTGCGGCATTAAACCAAACAAGTGCTGAAAACCTAACTCCCCTGCATTAAATCAGGCTGCAGCGAATGTGAAGAGAGCTTGATTCGCCTTTCAAACACCTCACCAAACACAAGAGCCCCTCATATCCATTGTACAAAATGTGTCGGAGGGACGAGGAGATGAAAGGGGTCACACGGGAGAAATTGGCAGTGAGGGAGACGATCCTGGCCCGAACTCCTCTGGGGGAGGTTGATTGGATATATTGTTAGGCGGCTTTTTAAATGAACGCCTGGCAAAAAAAGACAGACGGGGTCCCACTGTCCTCCACAGACAGCTTGATTAAGGACTTGGAGGACGATAATAGGCCGGACAGTGCGGCCTATGTGTGCTGTCCCCCGTCTGATTCGCGCTCCAGGGAAGGCCAGGCCTCTGTGAGTCAAAGCTCATTTAAATAACTCACTGCACCATCACTAAGTAAGCGTGCTCGCAGAGCCAAATAGGTCGGGATGATGACACTGGATATGACTTTGCTTAAAAAAAGGGGGTATGGGTATAGATGTAAGGTGCAGCCATGCAGGAGACAGAATGACATGAGCATCTTGTTCCTCTCCTCTCGCACTATTGAGGCCAGCTACAGCCGGGGTATTATTTTGGGAGGCAGAGCCTGATCTAATGTTGAATGATTTCAGATTTTTCGGTGTCCAGCTCAAGGACATGACAGGAACCAAGTCATGACTCAAACTTGTCTTAAATCCATTTCAAAGGCAGAGTAGACAATTTGAAAAATGGGACCCCCTCAAAAGCAATCATATCAGCAAGGAAAAGTAATGTTTTAGTGATCATGCTTGAGAACAGATTAGCTTTAACTGGCAGTGTGTCTCAATCAAAGAGTGGGATTGAAAAAAAAAAAAATGATGCTCCCACTTGATAATAAAACATGACATCAGCCCACTGATGTCAGGAAACATCAGTAACAACTTTGTCACAACTCATCTGCCCTCCACTATCTGTTGAATCACTCATGCTCATGCTGGTCAGTGTAAATCCACAGAATGTGCCACTGTACATTGTTATTCTCTGTATTCTTATTGAAGACTTGTTTTCTGTTGAGACACATTTGTCCATTATGCAACACATCCTGTTAAGTATAATTCAACCAGGCTGTTCTATTTCGAGAACACGATGATTGAACATGACAGCCAAAAACAAAAGGAATGATGGGTATTCCCTTACAAAGTTTCTATTCAGAGCCTCTTGTTTTGCACTCCTCTGATCCTCAAATAGTTAAATGCTGCATGGTCAGATTTAATGTCTCTCTGATACATCATGGTAATACACTTACCAGAGTGTGTGCAGCATTTTCCCCCTGGAGGGACAACCTCTCCTTATAATACAATCAAAGATTATCCCCGCCTTATATGCTTGCCTATGCATTTGCACACATGCACATCCACGCTTGTGCACACCGACACACCGACACACACACACACACACACACACACACACAATTGATGAGGATGTAAGCATCGTGTCCCCATGCACACAAGGAGACTGCACCGAACAGCAGCATTGAGAGGCAAGGAGGTGAAGCGATTGATGCCTGCTTCATTCATCATGACAGTGGCAGAATGCAAAAAGCTGTGCAGGGCTACAGTTCTCTGCAGGAAAAAAAAAAAAACTGATAGGCAAAAAGAGGGAGGGTACAGAGCAAATAGAGCCATTCCAGCACACACTTACCTCTTTCACTTCAGCAGGCATTGCCAAACCGTTTCTGCTTCCCCACAAATGATGGGCAAGATGCTTCCCCCTGTGAGATGTCTTTTTCCTATTCTTCTCTGAATGTTAGCCTTGACTCTACCTCCTTTGAGCATGTGAGGCAGTTCAAACATGAGCAGCCATCCTTCCTCCCAGCACTCACTAACACACGTCCGCGCTCCCTCTCTCTGCCTCTCTCTCTCTCTCTCTCTCTCTCTCACTCTCTCACACACTCTCTCTTTCTCTCCCAAACACACACTAGACGCACCATGCACACATTTGCTCAACACAGACGTTCCCTCGCACGTTCAAACACACACACACAGACACACACACACAAACACGCACACTGAGAGGCAATAAACGGCGGGCTCCCTCTCTGTCATTACCGCACTCCTCATCTGATGTGTGCTGCAGTTTAATGTGTGCGCTATTAGCAAGGTGCTGAATCAACTATGTGATGCTGAAGCCTGTGAATGGCTTAGGTAAGTGCACAGCCCTGCAATCCCCTCTGCTATGCCCATATTTTCTGGCAGCCTTGGTAGACACACACACACACACACACACACACACACACATACACAGATCATTCCCTGTGGGTGCACAGGCAGATGCAGCTGGAGCAGCACTAGTTGGGTCCTATGTCCACCCATGTGCGGCATAATAAAGGGCGAGGGGTGGGGAATGGAGGGGTAGGGAAGGTGCATGAGAACTGTATGCAGCACAAGGCAGGGTGACACACTACATCCTGGATCTATAGCGGTTTTCTCTTCAAGCTGTGCCAAAGACAAAACCAATTTCATCATCCTCACCATCTGCCTAAGAAACTTCACAGACAGCATCTCCAGTCACTGTAATAATGTCAAAACGTGGCCTAAATATCCTGAAACAGGTTAGATATGTTCTCCAACTGCTTGTTCTTTTTTTCGTCCTTACCACAGCATTTGTAACAACGATTGTATTTCATGTGTGAGGGCAGCGTACTGGTGCAGTGGTTAGTGCTGTTGCCTCGCAGCCAGAAGGTTCCTGGTTTGTGTGGAGTTTGCATGTTTTCCTCGTGCGTGAGTTCATTCTCTCCAGGTACGCCAGCTCCATCCCACAGTCATGCTCGTTAGGTTAATTAGTGTCTCTAAATTGCCCATAGGTAAATTTGTAAATGAGAGAATTGTCTGTCTGTTATCCACAGCACTGCAACCCACCTCTCCCCCGATGACTGAGATTGGCTCCAACCCCTGCAGGTCTTGACTGTTAAGCAGAATGGATAATAGATGTAACCATGTATTATTCCTGTTATTACTGACACCTTGATTTCAGTATCAGCTGATATCAGGTACAGGTCTGGTAGCAACACTATTAAAATACAGGTCATAAAACATGTACATTCACTTCATTGCACAAGCTTTGATTAACGTTACACACTCCACAAACACTGCAGTGTTTTTGTCTTTAACTAAAGGTATCTAGCACAGTGTATCCCCCCCCCCCATGGTATCAAAAATGAGCTGAGACCCCCCCCCATTAACCGAACTTTTCATACATTTCATTGATAAATTCATATCACAATACACTTGTTGTTACCAACGGAACTTGTTTACATTGCAAATCTAATTCTAACAACCTCCCTAACCCAAATAGGTTCCAAATAGGATAGAATTTGGTATTATACTTGTCTTGCGTTTGCTCCCGGCACTGTTCAAATGTTTTAGGTATAACACGATTTCACAAAGATCAGCTTGAAGTGGTCACAGCTAATCCCAGCTGATGAACCGAGTCAAAATCTACTGCTCCACTTCACAGAAAAAATACAAAATGATGAAGATGAAAGTCCGTGTCTTACTTTGCTCTCTTGGTCCAATTTGCCACCAGACCACTTGAAGTGAGACAGCAATATTCCAAGTAAAAAATGATCTGCTTTCATCCAAGAGCCAGTGCTCTCTATCAGCTGTCTTTCTTATTGATTTAAGAGCATCAGCCTATGTCACTGATCTGTGAGGGTTTAGAAAAACCTCACCGGCCTCTGGGTTGGTTTGAACTTTGCAAACAGACTGCAGTTTGTCATTTTTTAAGCTTACACGTTAGCATTTTTAACGTTCGCTTCATTAAACTCACTCAAACAAGTCAGCCTCTTTGCATTTTCATTTTATGTAATCCCTTGTTGATGGTATCTATCTCTTTATGATACCTCCTTTTTTATATGATTCCGATTATACACATCAGAGCAGCAGAAAACAAGAGAAGTAACACCTAACCTTGAATTGTGTGTCGCAGACATCAAAAGGCACACATTTATACAATCAGTTCATCAGTTAAACCTTTTGAAAATGACAAATCTCCTGTAATTAAACACAATCTTTGATCGTTTCAGAGGAACACAACACATGAAACAGCATACTGATGGGCAAAAACTGCTCCATTTTGTTCCAGAAACAATTACTACTGTTCACTGCTCTCCCACTGTTTTATCTCCACACTTGAAAAATACAAGTCCCATCAAATGGAAAATACCAGCATTAAGTGTCTTAATGGCTTTGGGTCATTGACAGACACCAGGGCAGCTTCATCACAGCTGGAACTTTTTTATTTTCTGCATTTTAGAAGCATCCAGTACTACTTAAAAAAAAATAAAAACTAATAAAGATACAAGGGAAACATCTCATATCTTTGTTCTTTCAAAGTAGTTATTCCTTATGAGGCATTTAAAAAATATGTCTGCATAGGAACAGAAGAAACTTTATTAAAACTAGCATGTTCATAATCACACAGAAAGCATTTTTATAAGCCAGTTAACATAAGACATGTTTTTCTTTTCAGTTATACAAATAAGTCTGAGCCTTTTGTTTTTCTGCACACAATGTATTAGTTGTTAGTTAATACCGGGGACTATGAATGTCTAAAATACAGTGTCAAAATAAAACAGTTGTTGAGATGTTTCTGTATGTTTCATAACCTCTGACCCTGTGACCCTGAGTGACCAGTTGATGATGATCTGAAGCCTCATGTCCTGCATTTTTTGTTGCACATTTAGTTTTTTGGCACAATAAGTGACCATATGTGGACGACGATTACAAAGTGGATTGTCATGTTCCTTTTCTAGGTCACCTTTGATTGCCATACAAGCAACTTTTTAATCCAAGGTAGCCATGCTGTATATTCAATTGTACTCTACTTAAACTACCTATAGATTGAGGTTCCACTTCATGACATTGTTTTTTTTTTTTTTTTTTAAACCTTTGGAGTCTCCCCCCTGCTGGCTATTAGAAAATAAATTATGTGGTGCTTCCACTCTGACTTTTTTGACTAACCTGGTATTGTTTTAAAAAAGGTCAGATTAAGTTTGATGGATGAGCCTTAATCTCTTGCTTTTCATTCATATCCTTCGACATGTAGCCATGTTTTTGCCACTGTTAATGCTCCCTCAGATAAAACCACCAGTCACTGTAAAAACTGAATTTAAGATCTATCTAAAATAGTAAGAAAAATAAGTCCTCATCAATTAATTCAGGTGAACTTTCTCTTCCCACAGCTTTGGTCTAGGTCCATCAAAATAAGTGAGGTTAGAAATTAAACAGACACCCACACAGGTGATTGTGAGTCAGTGGGAGATAGAAGCCAATGACACCTTTGTGCAATAGCTGAAAATGTCACTCATGATGGATGAGACCTTTTAATACCTAAAATGAATTATACTGGATTTATTGACATTTTCTCAGGGTGCACATTTTTTAAAAATGACTCTTAATGTTGCAAAATGTCAGCTGTATGGATCTGTGAGCCAAAAATGAATGTTTCATTCATTATTAAACGAGTCAAAACGATCACATTTTCTTCAAGGACTTCCTTCTGCATCATCTCTGCGCAGGCTGAATATAGAAACTGTTTCAATTGCTTTAAAATTCTGGGCATTCGTATTACACTCTGAAACCCCCTTCAACAATGGACTCATTACTTCACCCAGCTAAATGGGCACAGCTGGAATTAAACCCTAAATATCATGAATGCAGTTACACTTAAATTAGTTCCTTTAAAAGCGTCATGTGTCAGATACTCAACATCTCACTGTTATATTTTTCACTTGATTCCCTTTTTTCTTTTTCTTTTTTAACCAGGAGAAACCTCTTGGAGATTTAGAATGTCATTTACATGAGTGTCCTGGCCAAGAGGGGCAGCAGCACAACAAAAAGTTACAGACATAAAACACAGAATAATTATAAACACAGACCAACATGTCCAGAGTCACAGAGCAGAAAGTCATTAAGCATCTACAACCTTACAATGTAATGTACCAGCTTTCTAATTGGTGCTCATTATTTTGTATGTAGGGATGAATACGTCTTTAATTTGTGGCACTTGGGCTTTGATTCATAGTTTCAGAATTTAAAAAAAAGTAATTGTTAATCAGATTGACAGCTACGTATGAACTGATTATTACCTAACGACCGACAACTAATTCACTTCCACTCTGTTCTGATGACTCACCATCATCTCTTTATAGTTCTCTATTCACAAACTATTCCTACAATTCATTCATCATGAATTCTTCCTCAGTCAATAATCCTCTAAATGTCTGAACTCTGTTTTGGAAACTTTTGGAAACTATTTTTAGAAAATGATCATTAAGCTGTTTTGGGTAGTTACCCAAATATCACTTGCCAGGTGATGATAGTACTGCATTGCTCTTCGGTTAGGAGCATAACATCTTTTTGTAAAACCCACAAGATGTAGATTTTGAACCAAACAAACTTTGTATAACTAAGCAGAACGGGTGTCATTTTCCTTGGCAAGCTCAGTTACCATCTTAATAAAGCTGCCCTCTTAACCGAACTACAACTTTTCTAAATCCTGATCCTACTTTGATCAAAGCCATGGTTTTAGATTTATTTGCAATTTCACAGTTCTCTTGAACTTACGTATTATAAAAAAAAATGCTTCTCAGTCATCTGCCTGATTATGAAGACTCATGAAACACACCTCAGAAACGTGTATGTTTGTTTCCATAGAAGTGAATCCTGTGTTAATTGTATCATCTGGAGTTGAACTTTGTTCAGCATTCATTATTTCCAATACTCGTCCATCCATTTATCCATTATCTTTAACACTATTCCTTCAGTTAAATGTCCTCCTGGTTTTATATCAAAGGACATCAACCTTTTGTTCCTTTGTACTTGGCAAATCAAAGCCATTTGCAGTCTTTTTATGATGTGCTGAACCACATACAGATTTGCTAAATGGACAAACAGCAACATCATTTTGATGCTAATCAAACTGTCTGGTATCCACACAGACTCTGTTAAAGGAGAAAGAAAGCTGCACTCCTCCAGAACCTCAAGGATCAGTAGACATTTTATATTATGTCTATGTGTCTCATAGAAGATATAAAGCAGACAGGATCTGCACACT